GGATGCAGCCAAACGATGTTTCTCTTTCACATCAGTGTCTCTCTCTCTTCCTCTCTCGGATGAGGATTAAAAAAAGAAGAAAAATAGGGGCCAGTATTCCTTATGAATGTAGGATACCAATTGGATATCCAATTCTAAACAATACCAATACCAGCAACTCAAATATAAGCAGACTACTAACAGAATAATGGACTATAACAAAGAAAGAGTTACTTTATGAAGTGCAAGATGGTTAATATTAGGAAATTCATTAATCCATTGAGTGTTTAACCAAGGCATAACAACACCTCGTACAGACAGATTTTCTCTAGGGATGGGGCTATGTGAGGAATGAGATCTTGCCGCCAGGCTATAGGAAGTATCCCACACACATTAGGTATTCTGAGTCCTTATTCTTACTCATCCTCTATGAACATGGATCCTTATCGGCTAGTGAGGGTGATCCAACGATACATGCAATGGGAGAAATGAAAGTTCAAAAGAGCTCGAATGTGGAGGGTGTGTGAATGCGTGTGTGTATGTGTGAGTGTGTGTAAGATTGAGAGGTCGTGCTGGAAAGGTAAGGAAAGGCTAAATCATGTATGGACTGTGTCTAGGACCTTGGATTTTTATCCGGTGAGCAATAGGAGAGTTCCTGAAAGAAGGATGTCACCATCAGATTTGCACTGTGGAAGGAGAACTGGCTGGGGTAGGAAGAAGCCTGGGAGGGAAGGCGCAGCCAGCAGTGGGGACGTGAGTCAAGGGGCTACTTTGATGAGTCAGGTCGTTATCACAGGTGATTATCCAGGTCATCAGGCTGTACAATGTGAATGGTGTCTTGAGAGCCGTGCTAACCAATAGCCTCACTAGAAACTGGAACCAAGGAGCCCTGCCCTGAGGATAGAGAAAAATGGGTGGAAAATTCCGAAATATCCAGGGAAAACTGACATTAAGGAAGAGAGCCAAAAACATCAACAAATGAGAGATCTAATGCTGGTGAAATGTACATAATTGTACTCTTTTAAAATGACTTAAATATATTTAAGATCCTCAAAAGATAAAGAATAGCATCTATAAAAAGGATAATAAATTATGATAGAGTGAATGAATAAAAATGAATCAAGAATGGATCTCTATGGGTATACAAAAGAAACAATTGGCACTGTTGGGAATAAAAAAAGTAGGTGTTGAAGGAAAAAAAAAGTGGGATAAAACCTGGTCTAACGTGATCTGTTCAGAGCCTAAGGGTGGAGCTGTAAATTGGAAGATAGTCTCCAGGAATTCCTCCTGAGCACAGCACAGACGGGCGATGAAGTGCGTGCAAGTGACTGCGGGGGCCCCAGCATCGGTCTTACAGGGGATCCGGAAGAAGAGGACAGAGGGGCCAGTGGAGAAGACATATCCAAAGAGAAAACGGCTGAGAACGTTTCATAATTGAAGAAAGAAAACGCACACTATAGTGCTAAGCAAAATTCTAAAACAAAATGATACTTCTAGGTTGTGGGTTTGATCCCTGGCCAGGGTGTTTATGGGAGTGAAACAGGAGAACATCAAAGATGAGAAAAAAAAAATTTAAAGCTACCTAAGGATAAGGACATTATCTATGAAGTAATGACAGCCAGACTTCTTATCAGCCATAGGACAATAGGACAATGTCTTTAAAGTGTTGAAAGAAAGAAAGAACCCCTTTAACTTGAAATTCTATACCCAGAAACATTATTTGCAAAAACAAAATTAAGCTGTTTTCAGACACACACACAAAAATGAAGGGAGTATATCACTCACAGACTCTCCCTGAAAGAATTACTAAAGGATGTGCATCAGCCAGAAAAAAAGAGAAACCAAAAGAAAAGAAAAGATTCAGTTAAAAAAGTGGCAAGAAATAGGTAAACTATGCTGATAAATTTAATTACTGACCAGAAAAAAGAAGTAATTTTTTTGTGTGTTTAAAGAAGCTTGAACTAAATTTATAAACAGAAGTAGGAAGGGCAATGGGAAAGGAAGGGTTCAGTGTTTATTGTTTTTACCCTTCTCTCCTCAAGAGAGATACCAAGTTTAGAGTTTGTTGGAAAAATATATAATTTTGTGTATTGGAAGTTACAGAAATACAATCTACATCAGAGGGATAAAAAGAATATTTTGAAAAAAGTCTATTAAACTGAAGTCAGAAAATTGGAGGAAAAAAAGAAAAGAAAACATAAGGTAATAGAAAACACCAAATAAAAGGAATAATTCCAAATACATTAATAACCACAATAAGTATAAATTGATTAAAATAGCCTATGAAATTATAAGACTATCAGATTGGACTAAAAAGTATATTCTGCTTATTAAAAGACATACCTACAGAAAAATGATGTGAAACTATGTAAAATGAAATGAAAAAAGACATGCTGGTGTAACAATATTACTGTCAGACAAAATAGAAGTTCAGGAAAGGAGCATTAGTAGGAGTAAAAGAATACTCCTTTGCAACGTGGACACACCTCTTCCCACTCTTGCTGTTTCCTGTCGCGTGGAGGGAACACTTCTGTGTGACACCCCTGGCTCTCTCCACACTCTCCAGTCGGTGAATTTGGGAGCAAGAACTTGACATGTGGCTGTGCTGCCATCAGGGCTTCCTTCTGCTCCGCGGCATTAAAAGTCCCACCTGAGCAGACCCCACGGGAGGAGGCCTGCCCCTGCTCAGCACTGCCTGTGACCGGGTGGGTAACTCCGGAGCTTAGTTAGAAGATTCATTTCATCTTCATGCTAACCTGTGTGCTTATTCTTGGTCTTTATCAATAACAAAGGTGTTATTTTGCTTCCATCTGCCTTAGTCTTAATTTTTTGTTTCTGAATTTGTTGATAACCTGCGCAAGGAAAGGTGCCCTCTCTGGGCCCCTCCGAGTCCTCAGCCCACATGATGACAGAGAGAACAGTACACCCAGAGACTGAACAGCCCTGAACTTGTAAGCTTGTACTTAGGACCAGAGTCTTGGATTTAAAAAGGCAAAAACTGTTAGGGATATAAGTAGACAAATCCTTGGTTATAATGGGAGATTTCAATAACATCTCTCATATACCGATGGACCAAGCAGACAAAGAAATTGTGAGGATGTAGAAGATTTGAACAATACAGTTAACAAATTTGATCTTATAACATGCTTTCCTGAACTCAACAACAAAAAAGCTACATTCTTTTCAAGCCCCGATTGAACATGAAAAAAAGTCTATGTATTAAGTCAATAAACTTCAAATAATTAATATATAGATTATATTCCATGAATATAAGAAAATTAAATTATAAATCAACAAATTAAAATACTGAAGGAAAAAAATACCATACATTTGTAGAGTTAAAAAAAACCATTTAAAATAACTCATGGGGTAATGGGGAAATCACTAAAGACCTGATAAAATATTTGGAACTAAATAATAATGAATATACTATTATTAGTGCATGGGATGCAAAAAAAAAAAAAAAGGTAGAGAAAGATGTATAGTTTTTTTAAAAAACTATATTTTATTGTTTATGCTATTACAGTTGTCCTCACTTTTTTCCTTTTGCCCACCTCCACCCAGCCCCCCAATTTCCTTAAGCAACCCCACACCGTTGTCTGTGTCCGTTCATCACGCATATATGTTCTTTGGCTAATCCTTCACCTTTTTTCAGAAGGATGTAGAGTTTTAAGTGCATTCATGAAAAAGAAGAAAGATTAAATATGTAAGCACATGGGTCAGGAAGTTAGAAAGAAAATAGAAAAAAACCCAAAGTAAATAGAAGGAAAGAAAGAAAAAAAGACAAGAACAAGCCAGTGAAGTAAAAGCAAAAATAACAAAGAATAGAGACAATCAACAAAACCAAAAGCTATTTATTTGAAAAGATGAAGAGATAAACCTCTCCTGAGGGCTGATTAAGGAAAACAGAAAAAATACAGTTGGTATTACAGCGGCGAAGGGAGGGGATACAACTACAGGTAGAAACGAAGTCCTAAGAGAATTCCAGAACAACAAATACATTTGATGGGTAATTTTATAGAAAAATATAAATGACCTAAATTGATTCAATAAGGAGTCGAAAACCTAAATATTCACCGTTAAATAACTGAATAGGCAGCCAAGGGATCCTTCCACAAAAAAAGGGCAGGACCAGAGTTTTCACAGGTGAGTGTTAGCAAACCTTTAAGGAACAGAAAATCTGAAAGGTATGCATACAGACTCTTTCAAAGAATGAGAAACTCCCCAGCAATTGTATGAGGCTGGAACAACACCCTGATATCAAAACCTGACAAGGGAAGTAAAATTAAAAAAAAAAGAAAAAGGCCAGTGTTGCTATTGAACATAGGTGTGAAACTCTAAATAAAATCTTAACAAATGGAATTCAGCAGGATATAAAAAAGTAACACATAAGCAAGTGGAGTTTTGCCCGTGGAATGAAAAGATGGCTCAACAGAAGTGTAATCCACCATGTTTACAGATTAAAACTCCACGATTATCTTAGCAAATGCAGAAAAGCATTCAGTAAAATCCAACACTTTCATAATGTGCTACATGAATCAGGGGAACAGGATAAATTTAGAATCTTATGGTAAATCCCTTTATAAAGCAACTTTTATCCCATTTATATTTTGAGTAAATCCAGATTTTCATATATTAGTTTCTTTTCATAAAGGCTTAGTTGCATGTGAGAACCCAAATACATCCCGAAGCTGTGCCCAGTTCTTTGGGAGAACACAAAAACCCACAAAGGAACCAAACAATAGTGGTGAACTTGAAGGTGGCTCTTTGCTTTTCCCATGGTTTGGTTTTTGGACAGTTTTACCAGGCCGGTTCTTTAAGTATGCACCTCCCATGAAGTACCTAAGGAGGATTTCATTTTCTCACCATTTGAGTGTGGCGTCTAACACGTGGGTTAGGTGAAGTGCGGCAGATCTGACCTCAGGGAGCTGTGAAGCGAGGGTCCCTGCCCTGTGGTCTGGCATGATCTCAGCCACCTTCCTCATTGACTCCATCTCTTGTGGACACTTCTCTTTCTGCAGGTCCAAAGTGAAGACAGTGCATGAGCGGATCCCCTTGGCGGGGCTGAGCAAGCTGCCCAGCATCCCTCAGATTGCAAAGGTAAAAGCCGACCCCGAGAGAAGGTGACTTCCTCCCTTAGCCCGGGCCGGCCTCTGGGGTGGCTGGGAGTACAGGCTTCTCCCGGGTGGGCTTTGGCCCTTAACTGTGTGGTTGGGGGTTGGGGAGGGCTGTGGGCTGACGCCTGTCTTCCTGACACCCTCCCTGTCTCATCCTCGCCGCTGAGGTGCTCAGTGTAATCCACGGTCTCTGCCCCCAAGCTCACTGCTAGTGCAGGAGATGAGACATGGAAAGACGGAGCTTGAAATGGAGCGTAGGACTTCAGAGAAGGGCGGGGAGGGAGTGGCCAGGGAGCCTTCACAGCAGGGGAGAGTGGGGCTTAGGGATGGCCAGGCTGTTGATCCAGGTGGAGGACCTCGACCCACGCCCCGGGTTAGGAGCCATCCGCTGGTGGAGGGGCCTGTATCTTGCTCTGGGGGAACTCGGGAACTGAGTCAGCCAAGTGGGATGAGAAGGATGGTCAGCTGAGTTGGGTTGGACCCACACTTTGGGGGCGGGAATGCTGGGCATTCGGTCCCTTCAGTGGCCTCACTTCATCAGGAAACCCCAGGAAGGTAGGTTGACTTTCCTGGCCCCTCAGAGAGCAGCAGAGCTAGAATTCAACGCTGGGCCTCCCGACCCTGCAGCCCTCGCCCCCCGACCCACAGGCCTGGGCCCCCGACCCTGCTGGCCTGGCCTCCCGACCCCGCAGGCCCGGCCTCCTGATGCTACAGGCCCTGGCCTCCCATGTTCTTCCTCTAGTGGGCAGAGGAGCCCAGGTGCCATCCAGGACACCGCCCCTGAACCGTGTGTTTCTCTCTCCCTGCCTAGGCTTTCTGTGATGATGCAGTGGGACTGAAATTCAGCCCTGTCCTGTATCCCAAGGTGAGCCCCTCACCCCTCCCCTTAGCCTGGGCTCTGCAGCTCGGCATGGATTTGTGCACCAGTGGCTCTGCGGGAAGCTCTCTGCATCTTGGTGGGGTTTTGTGGGGTTTCGTGGGGTGTCTGTGGTGAGCCTCATGCCTCCCCTCTCCCTGCCCACCCCTTTACAAACTGGTCCACTGAGGAGCCATCCTCGGCCTTGCCTGGGTCTCCGGCCTGCCCAAGTTGGTCCCTGGCCTACCCGAGTCGGTCCCCAGCTGTGTGGAGGCGACGAAAGTATAGTAACTTCTCCATCTCCCTCTGGCCTAACAGCCCCGAGGCCATTGCTGGGTGGGGAGCACTTTACCTCTGGCTGGCAGGCTGGGGGCCGGTGCAGACCTGGGCAGCCATCAGAGAAGAAGGAGAGGGACAGAAGGCAGAACTCCACTAAAATATAAAAGGCTGGACTGCAGCGCCTCATTGCCAATACTGTGCAGCTCTGAGGCCTTGCAAGCACCTGCTCGGCCCTTGTTAATAAACTGGCTAGTTCTCTGTTATCAGTTTCCTTAGAACTGTCCTTCATCTTGACCCCAGTTCTGATGTGGGCGTGGGGGTGGGGAGAGGAGCAATAATAACAAACCAACAACTCACTCAAGACGATTTCGGGATGATAGGACTTAAATCACCCACAGACAGTGAACTGCTTTAGAGTGGCCATAGGAAGAGACCCCGTGTACCCACAGCTTCCTCATGAGCCAGCAGGGTCTGCAGGGAGGAAGCGGATGCAGGGCTGTGCTTCTGAGCCTGTGCCGTGGGCCAGCGCTGAGGTGGCCGAGGCGGCCGAGGCGGCCGAGGCGGGAGCAGTCCATTCCCTGAGTCTGGTTCTGGCAACCAGGAACCACGAGGTGAAATATTTGGTGGGGAAGAGAGGCCCTATCCTGGCAGGACATCCAGAAACCCCTGGAACAAACACCTGAAGTGTTCATGATCTGGGCAGGACACTCTATCCCTGTGCGGTGGCTGAGCCCGTGGCAGTGTCTTCGCCTGCACGGCGCATGTGCCAGAGCCCTTTTCCCAGGCACCGTTTTCTAGCCCTCTGAGCATCTGTGGGCGCTTACCAGTAACAGGCTGCACTCGGCTGAACATTTTCTCTCATTCAGACTGCCCTTCTCCTTATAATTAAAGCTGAATTAGTGAGGTTTAACCACACATTAAAACCTCATCATAAAGGCCTCACTTAACTACAAGTTTGGCAAATTTTGTTGTCAAATCATATCCACTGAGAGAACCTAATGGTGCTCATTTGCATAGCTGTTTCCGTCACTTGGAAAGCGTCCTGCTCTGGTCACGATGGAGGAGCAGCTGTATTTTCATGTTTTCTCTATTTGAAGGGCTCCTTAGTCCGGCTGGGATGTTAATCTGGCTGGGGCGTGTGTGTGTGTTTTTAAAATCCACAGAGTTTAGAACGTTCCTTGGCAGGTCTCCGTGGCGGGGCGCCTCCTCCCTGGAAGGGCTGCCGCTCTGCTCCTTTGACTCATCCCGGGGGGACGTGGGTGGCTCCCTCCAGGCTCGGCCAGCGGTGCTCTTCCGGGGGGAGCTGACAAGTGTCATTTTGTCAGGCAGATGGAAGCCTCCCAGACCTGACATGGGCCATGTACTGCGGCCAACAAACAGGCCGTGCCTGGTTTGTTTTTTCCTGCAGAATCACAGGAGGTTGGGTCCCTCCTTATCGCAAAGGGTATCCCTGTAGCATCCAAATCTTCTCTTTCCCACTGAGCTGGGTCCACTCTAATCTTTCTGGGGGGTCACATAGATCATGGTGATGGTGGTAGCTGCTCTGTGCTCTGCACTTCATGTGCCTCATCTCACTCACCTTCACAGCTGCACATCTCCATTTCATGGCTGAGCAAAATGAGACCCAGAGAAGCTAAGGGGCTCATTCAAAGCTATACAGGTAAAAGCAGCAGATTCAAAATTAGAGTTTAGCCCTGGCTGGTGTGGCTCAGTGGGTTGAGTGCTGCCCTTCCAACCAAAAGGTTGCCAGTTTGATTCCCAGTCAGGGCACATGCCTGAGTTCTGGGTGAGGTCTCCAGTTGGGGGTGCACTAGAGGCAACCACACATTGATGTTTCTTTCCTTCTTTTCCCCCTCTCTAAAAATAAATAAATAAAATTAACCCCGCCCCCCCACCAAACCCCATAATTAGAGTTTAGTATTTTTGACCTCAGATACCAAATCTTTGAAGTGCCATAGAAAATTATAACCAGGGGTCAGTTTTTTCCCCCCATATTGAATCAGGGTATGCTCCTCCTAACCGTGGTCTCCTTTTAGACCTCTCCGTTATAGATAAAGAGGATTAAAGTCCGGGCAGAAGCAGTGCCTTGTCAAAATCATGTTGCTGATCAGAGGTGGAATTAGAACTAATGTCACCCTTGCTTACCAGCTTTGGAGGGCTGGTTTCACAGGGAAAACACTGGGGTGAAGTCAGTTCCCTGAGTCCTTCTGGACTCCCCATGTGCCCAGGCCAGCTTGGCTGGTGCGTCTGGATGGAAAGGGAATGAGTGATGCGGAGGTTTGGCCACTGCTGGACGGCGCTCAGGCGTTGAGACCTGCCTGAGACCTTTGCAGTTGCATCCTGACCGTCTACACCTGACGTCACCTTTCTCCCTTTCTGCGTGTGTGGATGTCTCATGCCAGGCTGGCCAGCTCGCCACTGACATGGGACTTCCCTTCCCATTTCCCTCCAAGTTAGTAAACGATCTGATTTGTTTCTTCCCACATTTTCCAGGCCTCCCAGATGATTGTGTCCTATGATGAACATGATGTCAAGAACACATACAAATTTGGGGTCATTTATCAAAAAGCCAGGCAGGTAAGCACCACCAATCCATACTGGTCACTATATGCTCTGGTTCCTCCCTGGAGACTCTTATTTGCTGCCCCCAGCTCAGCAGCCCTGCAGTAGGTCCTTAAATATCCTGGTTTCAACTATGAATTAGATTGGAGGTGGCCGAATTGTCAGGTCATTCCTGACACCGAGGCCTGCAAAGCTTTTATATGGTAATACAGTTTTCCATACAGTAAATTCTGATTCTTCCTGGCTACATCAGCCTATCGTTATCTCTAGGCTGTTGGTCACAAGAAAAATCAGACTGGTTAGAGGGAATGGATTAGCCCAAGCTGCTCTCTCTTTGCCTGCCATTCTCCCAGTGGCTTTTTCTCCCTAGACTTCAGTAGTTGAAGCAGCCAATTGTGTGCATTTCTTCCCAAATCTGTGTTCAGCGTCATCATGTTTGTAGCTTGAATTTAGCTATGGCGGGAGTATTTGCACCATGGAAATTGGCAAACACCAGGGCTTCTGTTGCCCGATGTGGAGAGCTGCTGTTAAAAAATGTACTGGTACACCACCCTCCCCATCCTCTGTCTGTTTTGGCACTTAGATGCTTTACGGTTAGTTGGATGAATAATGCTTCTCAATGTGTGAAGTGCTCTGTGAACAGTGACTTGGACGGGGTTCGGTTGTATAGAAACATTTGAAGGGCTTTAAGAAGCCCCAAGGTAAAGAACCTCTTATAACTTTGTTGAATATTTATTAGCATCCTGACGAGTAGCCTGCTGAACACACTGATGTTTCCTCACCTAGATTTTATGAAAGAAGTTTCCATACTTGTTTTGTCTTAGTATGATCCAGGATCTTAGCATGGTGACTTTGTAAAAATGCACTCATAATTTTTTGTTATGTGAATTGGTAGGTTGATAGTACCTGTACTTTTCACTATTATCTGTGGTGGGTGGGTGGGTGGGTGGGTGCGGGTGTGTGGTGTGTGTGTGTGTGTGTGTGTGTGTGCCCGCGTGCGCGCGCATGCCTGTGTCTTTCTTGGCTACATAATATCTTACTTCCTTGTCTGAAGATATTAGACCACAAGAGACATGTGTTCACTCAAAAACACTCTAATTAAGTGAAGAGCTTAGGAGCTGAAAGACTAGCACAGATAAATCATATAATTTAAGGGAGATTATTCAGGGAGTCACTATGATTATTTTTACCTATTGCATTTTTATTTTGTACAACTCTGCTAATATAACCCACCTAATTAAAGTTCTTTGCTTGTGAAATTTACCAAAGCAGATCTCATAAGGTGATTATTATCCAATGTTCCAGCAAAGTTATAATTACTGAACATTAGCCATCCACCTCTGAGGAGTCTGCCTGTTGTTTATTGTACCTGATACTGCTGAGGCAAGGTGGGGGCGCCTTGGGAGATAAGTCTTTTTTTTAAAAAAAACTAGGCAGATTGTTGTTTTGCAAACTTACAGCCAGGGGGCATTTAATATGAGCACTTGTTGCATGAAAGCCCTTTCCTGGCCTGAGGATGTCATAAGCCCCACCTCACTCTTCTGTGTGCCAGGCACTGTGCTGAGCTCTGAGGGCGTCAGATATGACTGAGACGCCCTCCCTGAGCGCGTGGTCAAGCTCAAGGCCAGTACAAAAAAAAAAGATAATGCTAATACCAGGCCTCCGAGGGGAAGGAGGGAGCAAGAGCTGGATTGTCTTCCCAGCAGAAGAGGAGTGTTGCCTGGAGGTGGCCGTTCTCGCACACTCGGGCCTCATGACCTGCGGCACATAGGACGTGGGGCCGGAGTTGGGACGCCTTTCTGGAATGCTGTGGAACTTTTTCTGTGAGGGGCTCTATGGTAAAACATTTTCGACTTCATGGGCTGTACTGGCTCTTTTGCAGCCCCTCAACCCTGCCTTTGTAGTGCAAAAGCAGCCAAAGACAGTATGTAAATGAGTTGACCTGATTGTGTTCCAATAAAACTTAATTTATAAAAACAGGCCAAAGTTGGCAGACCTCTGCTGGAGAGCAGTGTGTCCTAAACCTCAGACTCACAAACTGTACTCAGTATCTGCATCAGATTGTATGTTCCATTGTATGGTGGTGTTACAATTTTTATCACACCTCTACTATAAACTACTTGATATTTTCTTTAAAAGTTTTTTTTTAACTTAAATGCATTTATTTATTTATTTTAAAAAAATGGTTCATTGCATTTTTATTTCCACTTCTTTCTTTCTTTCTTTTTAGAGAGGGGGAAGGGAGGGAGAAAGAGAGGAAGAGAAACAGTAATGTGTGGTTGCCTCCCGTGCACCCCCCTACTGGGGATCTGGCCGGCAACCCAGGCATGTGCCTTGACTGGGAATCGAACCGGCGACCCTTTGGTTGGCAGGCTGGCGCTCAGTCTACTGAGCGACACCAGCCAGGGCTTAAGTGCATTTATTTTTAAAGGAAATTTCATATTGATACTCTAATTAGAAAATCGGTATTGTTTGCATGAAACCAAGGTAATTTTAAACAGAAACACTATAAAAAATAAAAGTTACTGAAATCTAACTAGATTGTGTTACCAATTGAAGGCTTGGAACCTTGGGTCTGCTCTTTTTTGTTGTAATGTAGGCAGTAAGGGGGTGTGAAAGCATCACCTAGAGGAGACTTTCTCCTTGGAGTTGGTGTGCAGACTGGAGTGTGTGTGTGTGTCCGAAGCTGCTCATGGCACCTCTGGGCATTTGCAGAGCCCTCAGCTGTTGCAGATCCAGTCCCTGTGGGCAGAGCCTGTTGATCAGGCAGGGGCACCCCGTGTGATAAGCCTGTCACAGCTGTAGGGCTTACTACCCTTTTCAGCTTTGCTTTCTATTAAAAAAAAAATCTTAAGCTTTTAATTTTTAGGTGTCTGTAGATTTACATGCAGTTGTAAGAAATATTACAGAGCGATCTGTGTACCCTTTACCCAGAAGACAGGTGAGGTCTTCTAAAACTACAGTGCAACATCACAGCCAAGCAATCCATGGATCTTACTCTGATTTCCCCAGTTTTATATGTAGTCATCTGGTGGGGGGGAGTGTGTGTGTGCGTGCGCGTGTGTATTTTGTGGTGTAAAATTTTATCCCATGTTAGGTTACACAGTCAAGATGCAGAATTCCGTCACCCTTTGCACTTTTAGCATATCTTGTGTTGCCTTTCTATAACCACAGCAGTTTCCCTCCTGCCTCTGTGCCCGCTTCCCCCTCCCTAACCCCTAACCCTTGGCAATGACTACTCTGTTCTGCAATTTCTAAAACTTTGTCATTTTGAAACTGTTTTCTAAATTGCATCATACAATATGTAATATTTTGGGATTGGCTTTTTTCCGCTTAGAGAAATTCACCCGTGTGCTGGAGAGTATCAGCAGTGCATTCCTTTTGGGGGCTGAGTAGTATTCTGCTGTACGGGTGCACACAGCCTGTTTAGCTTTTCTCCCACTGACGGAAAGCTGGTTTGCCCAGGTTTTGGCTATTAGGAGTAAAGCTGCTTTGAACATTTGTGGACAGGTTTTTATGTGAACATAAGTTTTTATTTCTGTGGGATAAATGCCCAGGGGTACAATTGCTGGGTTATATGGTAATTATATGTTCAGTTCTGTAAGAAATTGCCAAACTGTTTTCTAGAGCAGTTGTTCCATTTCACATTCCTACCAGCAATGCTTGATCGATCTGCGATCTCCACATCCTTGCCAGTGTTTGGTGGTGTTACTATTTTTTTATTTTAGCTCTTTTGATAGGTGTGTAGTGATATCATTATTTTTTATATCTTATTATTTTAATTTGCATTTCTCTAATGGCTAATGATATTGAACATTTTTTCACGTGCTTATTTGCCATCTGTATATCTTCTTGGGTGAAATGATTGTTCATGTCTTTTGACTATTTTCTTTGTTTTTCATTAGTATAGTAATAGGAACTTTAAAATAAAGATTAATCACAATAGAGTCCAATCCTTAAAATAGAAAGCAGAAGCAGAAGGAGATGCTATTTTCAACCACAATCTTCCATGTCTGTCAACACAGAAATGTTAAAAGAGAAAGAAACTAAATTAAGGTGGCTGACTGTTGACTATTCTAATTGCATTATTTTTAACTGTTTAGTTAAAAAAATTTATAGCAGCTTTATTGAGGTATAATTCACCTACCATTGTGAATTATATGATATGTGAATTATACCTCAGTAAAACGTCCAAGTCAGTGGCTTGTTGTATATTCACAGAGCTCTACAACTATCACCACTGTCTAACGGCAGAGCATTTTTATCACCCCCAAAGAAACTCTGATTAATTAGCAGCCACTTCCCATCATCACCCTTTCTAGTTCCTATTAACCACAATTGGCTTTCTGTCTCTATGGATTTTCCTGGTGAGGCCATTTCATATAAATGGAATGATAATATGTGGCTTTTTGTGTCTAGTGTTCTTAGCATAATGTTTTCAACATTCATCCATGTTGTAGCGTATATCAGTACTCCGTTCCTTTTTATGGCTGAAGGATAGTCTGTTGTATGGATAGACCACGTTTTATTCATTCATCAGTTGAGGGACATGTCGGTGGTTTCCATCCTGGGGCTTTTATGAAGAATGATGCCATTAACATTAGAATGCAAGCTTTTGTGTGGAATTATGTTTTTATTTTTCCTGAATATAGTCTCAGGAGTGGCATTGCTGGGTGTTATAGTAACTCTAAGTGTAGCCTTTTGAGGAACTGCCAGACTGTTTTCCGAAGAGCACCATTTTACATTCCCACCAGCCGCTTATGTGGATCGTGAGTTTTCTACGCGAACCCTTGTCTGTCTTTTTGATTCCAGCCATCAGTGCACGTAAAAGGGTATCTCATGGTTTTGATTACTATTGAGTTTTAAGAATTTTTTAAAAAAATATATTTTAGATAGGAGTCCTTTGTCAGAATTCCAACTATCAATTTTTCATTTATGGATTGGTTTTTGGTATCAGGCCTAAACTCTTGGCTTCAGCTTTATTTTTTACCCTGACCAGCAGCTTTGGTTTGAAGAGAAGGTCCTGTTCATCAGCCCCCCAAATCCAGGTCTGCCTCAGCCCTGCCTCCGGGTCAAGGACAGAGCCACTGGGTGGGGGCTGGGGAGAAAGAGAAACAGGGACCAGGTGTGCACAGAGCCACACTCCTTCCCGTGGCACCGAGAAGGCTTCTTTTTCTAACTCCTGCCGTTGGCTTGCGTCTCTTCCAGACCCTGGAGGAGGAGCTGTTTGGGAACAATGAGGAGAGCCCAGCCTTCAGGGAGTTCTTGGAGCTGCTGGGGGACACGATAACCCTGCAGGACTTCAAAGGGTAGGTTTCAGCCAGGCGGCGCCTGGTGCCTCCGGCCTCTGGGTGAGGACTCGGCCAGGACTCGGACCGAGGGTGAGGGGTGGCAGCTGAGTTCAGGGAGGGCACGTGAGAGGAGTAAACACACACAAGAAACGCGAGATTGTTTCTCAGCAAATGGTCAGCACTCCCTGCCAGGGAAACGATGGTCCAGGGTGACCTGCACGGCGGGTTTCCCGAAAGACAGTGACATCTGGCTTTGGGATGCGTGATGCAACTGCCCGTCTCTGCTTTGCCTTTCTTGTTATGTTTGGCTCAGGCTGAGAGTGAAATGAGTCCACCTTCCCTGTCACTCACCGGCCAGGCATTCAGGAGAGAGGGCCCTGTGCTGTTGGGGGGAAATGACCCATGTTAGATAAAACACAAAAAGAATAGATAATTAAGAGTTGGTAGAAATGTAATGACCCCGCTGGCAGGAATCTGTGCAACAGTCTGTGGTTCTCTACGAGGACAGAAAGCATATTGGACCTGTTGCTTGGAAAGCTCTGGCCTCTGCTTTTCTTCGGCAAAGGCAACATTTGGGAAGGGCCTTCCCACCGGGCTAGACTGCTGTGCTTCATGGCTGGAACAGGACAGAGCCCTCAGAGCTGCCCCCCACCCCAGCAGCCAAATTAATAGGATCTCTTAACGTGTGTGAAAACACTCAGCTCTGCCTGTCAGGTAGTAGGTGTTTAGTAATCACTTCCTTCCTCTGCGTCCTTCTCTCCTCCCCTCCTTCTTCCTTTCCCTCAAGGTCATCACTGCCGTCTGGAGTCTGTCACACATGGGTTACAACCCCGCCTTCACCACCTGTTAGCTCTATGGCTTTGGGCAAGTAACTTAACCTCTGCTAGCCTCAGTTTCCTCATCTGAAAAAAGGGAGGTGAAGGTAGTAGTGACCCCACCGGTTGCTGGGGTTAAACTAGACAATGCTTGTGAAGCACTTAGGCTTGTGCCGAGCACAGAGGAGGCACTGGGTGTCATTATTGTTACTGTTATTATCCCACCTTCCCTTGGCTCTGAGATACCCTCTTTGTGACATGCATCCTGATTTCACAGGTGTTAAAGTGTGAAAAGAAAAGTTTCTTAGACTAGATGAAATAAAATATATTAAAACCCGGGAGGGCCCTGGCCGGTGTGGCTCAGTCGGTTGGAGCATTGTCCTGCAGCCGAAGGCTCATGGGTTCGATTCCTGGTCAGGGTGCATGCCTCGGTTGTGGGTTTGATCCCCAGTCCAGGCGCATATGAGAGGCAGCCAACTGATGTGTTTCTCTCTCCTTTCCAATCTCTCTTTAAAAAAAAAAGGCATGAAAAAAATGTCCTTGGGTAAGAATTAAAAAAACAAACAAACAAAGAAACAACAAGAGGAAGGACTCCAAAGATCACGTCATCCTATCCTTTTATTTTATAGAGAAAGGAAACCATGACCTAGGAAGATTAAGTGATATGCCCAAGGTCATGTGCTGACTTAGGGACAGAAGCAGGTCTAGAACCTGGTGTGCCTGACTCCCAGCCCAGCGTGCTTTCTGCCATGCTGGGCTGAACACATTTTCTGGATCGTATACCAGTGCTTGAGGGGACTGATGTCCGGGGTCTATTTTATTTCATTTACTTAAAGACATCTGCATCCTCATCTTAATGCTGAAGAATATGATCCATGGCTGGCAGCCCTATTTCTATAGAGAACGAAGGGGCAGCTCCCAGAAGCCCACTGAGTATCTTAGTTTCTTTCCTGCCTGAGAGGAGATAGCCAGAGAAGGGACCTCCTTGGATACTTTCAGGCTGGATGCTGCCGTGGCTGGGTCTCCACATCAGACACTGGCTGGGCAGAAGTCAAGCATCTGTCACCCCTTCAGGCTGACTCTGGATGCTCCTGTGGGGCTCACCGCCTTCCAAAGGATGGCCGGTTGCCCTGGCTCTGGACTGAGGACTTGGACATGGCCTTGCAGAGAACAAAGGCTTGTGCCCAGCCTTGGGGGCCCCTGGCGCTGGGACAGCATTTGTCTGGGATTGTGGGTGGATGACCTCCCATCCCACAAGACCCTTGAAATAGGGATTCTGCCTTTGTCTTTTAAATATGGGTTTATGGTAGAATACCAGGGCTTGTCTGTTCAGAAAAGCAGACCTACCTGCTTTGCCCGAGTCTCGGCCTCTCAGGCCTCAGCTCCCTATGTCCCCTGGTTCGTTCGCCCACCCCTACACTCCTAGGGGAGGCTGCGCCAAGGTAACCACTAACCCTCACTCTCTCTCCCTGTGGCACTTGCCCTGTTTTTTTACCGACAGTTTCCGAGGAGGCCTGGATGTGACCCACGGACAGACGGGGGTGGAGTCAGTGTACACGATATTTCGGGACAGGGAGATCATGTTTCACGTCTCCACAAAGCTGCCCTTTACCGAGGGAGATGCCCAGCAGGTAACCTGGGCTGGGAGGGCTCCGGGAGCCTGGGGCGTGCGAGGTGAAAGCCCGCCTCTGGTCCCTGGGCCCATCTACCTGAAGGACTGTACCGCCCCCGCCCCCACCCCCTCCCTTTTGTAATCAAGAGCCCAGTCTGTTGAGCTGTGCTCTCCTCCAAGCCTGTTCTATCGCGTTACCTCATCTCACCAAGGCCACACGTCAGTGCTGCTGACGTGCGCCAGGACAGCAGGGCTCGTGGTTATGCGTGACACTTTGAGCGGGGAAGCTGCAGCTCGGTGGTGAAAAGACTGTTTCCCAGCTGACCGGGGCGGAGCTGGGAGCAGAGGCCAGGTGCCCTGATCACTAGGATGTGGTAGAGAGCATGATGGGGTCTGCAGATGGCAGCTTGACGCCAGCTCTGCACTTAGGGGCACGGGATCCTGGGCAAGCCAGTTAACCTTGTGGCCTCATTTTTCCTACCTGTAAAGTGGGGATAGCGCCATGAATGTCAGAGCATTGTTGTGGACATCACATGCGTGGTGACGGGAGGGCTCGGTGTGAGGCCCGGCTGTGGCAGGCGCCTGCCTCACAGCTGTGCGCTGTCCAGGCCACTCGGCTGCTGCGCCCCGTCCCGCCCCAGCGATGTAAAGCTGGTTATTTCACGGGACAGCCCTCACCTCCCAGCTTTGCTTGCCTCACAGCCTCCTCTCTCACCTTGCGGGCAGGAATTCGGCCTCTCTCCCTTAACCAGGGAACTCTGGATGAGACCTCCGTTTCCAGGGTTTTCCCGCTCACCCTCTCGTGTGCAGCTCCTGACAGCTGCATGTCCCCAGGAAGGGCCTGGCTTTTTTCTTGTTGAGCCCTGAAACCAGCAGCTGACCCCTGGCTGTTGCCTCATTTGCCCCCTCCCGTTCTTTCCCGTTCTTTCCCGTTTTTCAATCACTAGGAAGATAAGAAAGGAAGGTAGGCCTTCCACCAGACGCTGACCCATCCGTTTCTGCTCAGGGAACTGGGGAGGGAGCGCAGATGCAATATTGTAAACATAGTGCTTGGCTTCTTTGGGAAAAAAGGAAATTGGCAAATGAGACCGTGATTTGGCTCTAAAATAACTACTGAATGTTCTAGAAACAAATGGGAGCAGGATTCCTTCTGTATCCAAAGTAGGTTGTCTCTCAGTGTTTCGCCTCCAGTCTCCATCCCCTCGCCCTCGCCCAGCCTGAGGCTGAGGGCTGCTGTCTGCCCGGCTCTCTTTCAGTCTCACCTGTGGGAAGTGGGAAGTATAACGAGACTGGCTGTTGGCAAGGACTGAATAAACACTAATTTTCTCTTCCCAAGAAATGGGATGATGTGTCTGCAATACGTGAGACAATTTGTGTGAAGTGTACAGGCCCAGGCTCAATGTGTATAGCTGGTGCTCAGTGAGAAACTCAAAGGGAAGCATAGGGCCAGCATGCAGTAGGCGCTTGATAAAGGAACATAAGTGTAGGTAAGTGCCCAGCCAGGACTTGGTGTGCAGGAGGGCCTTAACATTTGAAATCGTCCAGGTGAACAGCCCCGTGGGCCCCTGACACACAGTAGGTGCTTGCTGATTGAGATCACTTTGGGAGCACCTGGTGCGGTTTGAGGCACTGAATCGGAGTTGGGTTTCTTCCTCCCCTGTGACCTCTGCCAAGCCATGCTGCCCGTGTTTCTCTAAGCGTGGCCCTTCTCCCCTCTGGTATAGAATGATTGGCCCCTTCATCCCTGCTTATCCACATTTCCATCAAGTGTCTCCCTTCGTCGTCTCCTCCAGGAAGCTTTCTCAGATTACCATCAGGCCTCTGGCTTTGCCCTCTTCCCTGCCCTCCGCACCCCCCAGCGGCAGACATTTGTGTGCAAGAGGCTTTGTTCCTGTTCTCAGGTAGCTTCACCTGTGTTTATGTTTCTCCTGGATCCATGACAGGCTCCACCAGGACAAAACCTGGACCTCAACTTTTAACCCTTCTCCCTCAGTCCCGAGTCAGAGCTCTGCACACTACAGAGCGCAGTGCGACGCTTGCTCGCCTCTACCTAACAGCTTGGCCAACTCCCCCATTTATTTTCTTTTCCATGGCTTATAAAGATTAAAATAAAAAGCTCCCTGGAGAGGTAGGTCTCTGAGTTCCTGGGTTTATGTATAAAGATAGAAGAATGAAGAATTTCCTGTATAGATCTATTCTGCTTTTAGGATGTTCCCAACTGGCTTATAACAATGGGACACTTTTTGTTTAGCTCCAGAGAAAGAGACACATTGGCAATGACATTGTGGCCATCATCTTCCAAGAGGAAAACACACCGTTTGTCCCAGATATGATCGCCTCCAACTTTTTACATGCCTACATTGTGGTGCAGGCTGAGACTGCGGGCACAGAGACCCCCTCCTACAAGGTAAGGGAAGGTCTCACTGGAGGAAACGGTGGCCTACGCACCTCCCCATGCGTTATGGATTCAGTGATAACAAGAAACGCCAATTCTCATTGGTTCCTTGGGCCATTCTCCAAGATGTTGCTCCTAACTTTGGTGTGACTGATTTTCCATGGTTTTCAGGTTTCTAGGGTCTGGGGGCTGGACTCTTGGTGTTGAGCACCCTCTGGGGGTCCTCTCATCCTTCGGGTTTCCTTGAGGCTTGGCAGCATCTAACTCAGGGGCCGAGAAGCCCAGGTGCTCCTACTGGGAATCTGGTATTGCCACTTGCTAGGGTAAGGCAGAACCAGGGGGAAGACAGAAAAAGTAGAGAGGACTGTCAGGAAAGGGAAAGGAAGGAGGGCGGTAACAAAGGAAAGAAAGAAAAAGAAGTGTTATGGTGAGGAGGGCGGAGGGCAGGGGCCTGGGAGACCCTGACCACGGGGGGCCCCTCTGGTGCAGCTGTACTGGAATAAATGGTCGATGTTAATTTGAAGACTCCCAGGGGGTGGGGTTGTGAGTGCTTGGGCCTCAGCCTCCTGACCAATCGGCCGTCTCTCAGACTGGCTCGAAATCCTCACGAGGAAGCAGGGGAGCCTGTCACCGTCAGAAGCCCTCGCCCTGCCCACCCTGACAGCTGTCACTGACTCTCCCCTTCTCTTCATGAGAAACAAGCCCAACCTTTTGGGCAGCAGTTTCTCTACGTCACAGATAGACTGAAGCAGGGTTTCCAGGGTGGACGTGACATAGTCTTTGAACGCCCTGCAGATATGTGCAAAATGTTGAGTTTGTGTGCTTCCTTGTGTTTTCTAGGGGGAGAGGCCATGGCTCAGGTTCTCAGAGGGCTGCCTGCGCCCCATGATGTTAGGAACCCCTGTTAGACAGAGAGGGAACCAAAGCCTGTCATTGCTAATGGGAAACTCTGAGGCCTGGACATGTTTCCCGTATAATAATGGGCCAACGATGGTCCCAGGGCTTAGGAAACCCTGGCGCGTCACGGCCACATCCTCATAAAGCGTTTATTTGGCTTTGAAGATTTTGGGAAAAGAAAATGATGTGATATAATTGTTATATCAGTACCAAGCCAGATATATTAAGAGCAAAATTCATATCAACTTTAAGTCCAAGTATGAGGCGTCAAAAAACCCCACACCTCTCTCCTGTTTTCATGAAAGAGAGCTGCTTTCTTTCCGTGCCCATGTTCGTATTCATGTTCTTCTCTCATTGAGCAGTTTTAGCTGAAAAGTTAGGCATTTCCTAACTTTTGGAAATTTAGGTGGTTTAGGCATTTCCTTAAAGGCTCCGGGCTCACCTGCTTTGACCAAAGTGGGTGTTCACTTCAAGCAGCTGCAGGATTTGTTGGTGGAGGGAAGCATTTCATTCATTCAGCGCTTCCTGTGTGCCCCGGGTGGAGCCTACGGAAGTGACAGAAAGAATCAGCCTCCAGGGGAGAGACAGCAGAGCCAGGGAGTGCAGTTCAGCCGCTGGGCCGCGCCAGCAGCCAGCGCGTTCTCCTAATAGCCGTTGATCAGGATCCCCAAAGTAAAGCGGTGCGATGTGGTGGGGCTCCCAGACCTGGCCAGGCAGTCACGTACATCCGTGTGGCTTGTCTGCTGGCAGAGCGGGGCCTCTCGTGGGTGTTTAGCATTAGCTTTCAGTTTCTGATGGGAAATGGTGCTCAGCTAACTGACTTCTCCACTTTCCCAAGAGGGTCACGTGGAGAATACAGGGAAGAATCAGAGGCCCCCACATCAGCACCCCACCTCCAGATTTGATGCTAGAAGTCGTTATCAAATCTTCCTAGCCAGAATCTAGGGTCCTGGTAAAAGCACTTTTCTCAGAAAGGTGGTAGAAGCAGAGAGGTAGGACGTACAGGAAAGGCCAGGCTGTCCCTGGGATGTGGGACCTTGTGCTCCACCTGCCAGGAAAACATTGAGGTTGGAGGTCATGACCTAGGAATGGGGGCCACGGAGGCAGGGAGCAGGGAGGGAGCCCAGCTTTCCGAGGTGCTTCCCAAACCTCTGTTCATCCGTGCCCCCAGCAGTACCCCCTGGCGATAAGCAGACTGAGGGGGACCTGGTTAGATCCCTCAGGGGGTCCAGGGTGAAACGAGACCTTAGCTGACCCTTGCAGGCTTAGAGGCTATGGGGAAGGAGGGTGAGGGAGGTTTCCCAGGGGCTGAGCAGCATCCCGGGAAGCCCCACGGCAGGGGGCAGGTGGAGTGACCACAAACAATAGGAAAGAAAAGGAAAGGAGAGGATGCAGGGAAAGGCCCCAGACCTCGAGTCTTGAGAACCTGGGGTTCCGGCTCTTGGCCTTCCTCTGACTGCTCTGTGCCCTTGGACCAGTTTCTTCTCTCTCTGGGCCTCTGATTCTATTTGTGTGAAATGAGGAAGTTGGACTAGACAACCTCTGAGTTCCTTCCAGCCCTGATCCGCTGGGGAGAGGAAGGACGGGGAGCCGAGAAACAGGTGTGCATGTATGTGTGTATGTGCACGTGCGCACACGTGTGAGAGAGAGAGAGAGAGAGAGATGGATTAAGACATGACTTAGGGGAACTCTGTAGTGTTTCAGGTGTCCTTTTGTAGGTGCATATTAGTAGGGAAAGGAAAAAAGCACTGGGTGACAGCGGTTGCCCCCTACCGGCTGGGCTCCGTGCCAGGCCCTGTGCCCGGCCCTAAAAACACAGTCTTTTTGAATCCTCACAAGCTCCTGACCAGGCAGGGCCTCGCAGGAGCCCTGTTTTAGGCAGAGAAATTCAGGAAATTGAGGCAGAGAGCTTATGTCACTTAAGGCCTGAGGCCACAGAAGCGGTGGGGCTGGTGTCCTTGTCCAGATCTGCCTGTGGTCGTCAGCACTGAGCCATTGGAGCAGGTAGGAACTTGGCTCCCAAACTTGGGTATGCGTGAAATGTCACATCGGATTATTTTTCAGATGTGAATTTGGTCCCCATCCTGCCAGACTGGAAGGGAATTCCGGCTGAGCCATCACCAAGACTCCCTCCTCTCTGTCTGAGGTCCCTGCCCCTGACCCCCGATGTCCTGCCAAGGTCTCAGGAGTCTGATGTGAAGCAGATCATTGCAGAGGGGTCCTGGTTCTGTCCCTTGTGCCCTCATTGCTCGTCCGTTGCTTCAGCAACCGCTGTGGGTCTGTAAGGCTTGCAGGCCACACTTGGGCATGGGGATCTTGTCAAGGCGGGATCTCACCTCCTGGCGCCCCCATTGCTCACGAGCCCCAAGCCTCCTTCCGCTTTGCAGCCCCGAGTCTCTTCCCCCTCTTCCCACGGAGCCTCTGCCTCGCAGTCCTGCTCTGGCCCCTGCGCCGAGTTTAGAAAACAGGAAGGTGGGGCTGTGATTGAGGCAGCTTCTGCTTTCAGCCCAGCAACCCAACCGTCCCCAAGAGGAGGGAACAACAAAGGCCCCGCGCTTTGCTGGAAAGGGGTCAGGAGAGGGAACACAATGGGGATAGAAGATGAATGGCTGTCACAAGAAAGGATCTTGTCCCTTGCTTTCCTGACGTGGCTGTTTTGGCAGCCTGCTCTGTCTGGGACACTGGGTGGACTTAAGAACATCGATGAAGACAGCTCAGTCGGCATGGCCCACGGTGATGGAGGCCTGAGATGGGGGAGTCGCGGTGGGAAGAGGGGAGGGCGGGGCCCGGCCTCTGGCCTTGTCCCAGTCGGCAGCCCGTCAGGGGCGTTCCCACCGCGCTCCCCCCAGATGCTGGCTCTGAGGGTGGAATTCTTGACGGGCACCATGGGTGCCCGGTGGGTGGTGGGGGGGGCCTGTGTCTGGCTGCGGGGACCAGCCGGAAATCACGTCAGCCGAACCTCCCCTGGTTCCTGACTGTGGCCGCTGCAGTCTGGGCCCTGCAGACAGCTTTGAGCTCAGGGAGCGAGAGCCTTGAGTTTGGTGTTGACCAGCTCACTCCCTCTCCCTTCCCCTCCAGACCCTGGCAGGACCTTTCCTTGGCCTGGCTCCGAGCTGCTTGCTTGTCTGCACTGGCCGACTCTCAGCATCTGCCCTACTTCACGGGCCAGGCAGCTGGCGGCGTGCCAGGGCCGGGCTCGCGTCAGTGGCTGCCCGCTGGGGAAGGGGGAGAGAGGGCAGAGTCCCCAGGGACGCCTGCAGTCTCATGGGCTGAGAATGGGTGAAACCAGGGCACCCGTGTGCAGAGGGGAGAAGGACATGTAGGGCCTGTCCCGAGCCTGGGAGACCCCATGCAGAGCATCTTGGGGCTCTTCCTCCATTTGTTCATGCCCTGCCAGGCTGGCCAGAGGTGCATGTGCCCCCCACCCTGAGCCAGGTACACCCTGTGCAGCATGCAGCGCGCCTTGCTGTCCTCCACCCCAATTCCCAGCCCGGGCCCTGCGCCATTAATTCAGGCCTCACCCAGATCGACTGACCCTGTCTGTGGGGTCACCGCTTCCGAACACTACTGCGCAGAAGCTCTTGGGCCCATGTAACAGCTGCAGGTTCCTGGCTCTGCCTCAGAGCTGCGGATTCAGTAGGCTTGGGGCGGGGCCCATGCAGTCGGCATTTGTTTTTTAAACACTTGAATTGTGGCTAGGTTTGGGAGTTAGTGTCGTGGGGAAGAACCCGAGAGCAGGGTCTGGATTCTCTGTTTATCTCTGTGGCTAATCACCTGTGTGCCTTTGGGGGGCCACTTCATGGCACTGGGCATCCGTTTCCTGATCGGTGAAACAGGGCTAATAATTCTCACTGTGCCTTCTCCGGAGGCTTAGCATCCCAATCCTCTGCGGTCGTGAGATAAGGCCTCCCCAGCACTCGTGCTGCGAAAGAGCGGGGTTGCTCCTCAGCCCTGTGTGGTCATCTTGCCAGACTTGTTTCTGGCCTCCAGCAGTGCGGATGGGAGCATGGGGACACTTCCGGGCAATCCGCCGCGATGGTGGCGGCTCCCAGGGGTGCGGGGAGGGCAGGAGGAGACCTGCTGGGGGAAGCGGGCTCCCCCAGGGCCAGGGCATGCATGTGGCATGTGTTGCAGCCCTCAGCTTGGGTCTCTTCCCTCCTCACTCACATGGAGACTCTGTTTCAGGTCTCAGTCACTGCGCGGGAAGACGTGCCTCCCTTCGGCCCATCTCTGCCCAGCCCCCCTGTTTTCCAGAAGGTAAGACTCTCCTTCCTGCTCCTCTCAGGCCCAAGGCTCTGGGTGCCCACACCTGCATGGCAGCGGGGCTGAATCAGGCCTGGGAACACTAGCAGGGCCTTAATTCAGCAGGGTTGGAGGATCTCCTTACTTGGGGTCTCTCCTCACCTCTCCTCCTGCTGCCAATCTGGCCTTGCACAGGGTCTCCTATCAGGGTGTTTGAATTTCTGCTGAAAGAAGCATTTTTATACCATGCTCCAGTCCTGGGAAGCTTCGGGCAAAAATTGCCTCCAGTCGTGGAAAGGGCATGGGGGCGCAGAGGGTTGATTTCCCAGGACCAGGGAAGATGGCTTCCATGTTGACATCTCAGCAGATGGGCTTGGCCTGGGCTAGAACGATCAAACGTCAGAAGGGACTTTTCGGGGGCTCTGCTGGATCCCCTGTTCTGCCTTCCCATTATAAGGCTGAGGGAGTCCTGGGGCTTCTCGTCTGTTCCAGGGCCCGGAGTTCAGGGAGTTTCTGCTCACCAAGCTCACCAACGCGGAGTATGCTTGCTGCAAGTCTGACAAGTTTTCAAAGCTGGAGGTGAGAGCGCGGTTTCTGATGGTCTTCCTTCTGCCCTCCTGCTAGCCAGTCTCTGCCAGGGGTCTGTCCCTGATGGCTCTTCAAGGTGGGGAGCATTGCCCCTCTAAGTCTTCAGCCCTGTGTTGATATAGTAAATCTTAATTCTTGTGGAAACTAAGTCCAAACTTCAGGTCTGGTCAACCATTCACCCATTGTTAACTGAGCTCCTACTGTGTGCCAGGCTCCATTCTGTTTCCTGGGAGTAAATGAGACTCAGTTTCTGCCCTTATGGAGCTCACAGGCTGGGGGGGAGGGGCCATTACCGGACAGGTATGACACGGTTTGCTAGTACTGGGCTGTGATGGAGGCCAGCAGGGGGCTGTGACTGCCTCCGCCTATGGGGGACTAGGGTGGGTTCAGGGAAGGCTTCTTGGAGGAGGTGGCCCTTCTGCTGAATCTGGATATCTGATGAGCCTTCTTCTGGGAGGGAAGAGTGGGCATGGGAGGTTATTCTAGGCATGGGAAACAGCAAATGCAAAGAATCAGAGCAGAATCAGAGCATGGCTCCGTGAGGGAGCTCCAGAGGGTTTGATGTGGCCTAAGAGCAGGATGCACGGGGAACAGACTGGTGGGGACACAGCTGGAGACGTGGGTTAGGCCATGTGAAGAAGGGCTTTGAGCTAGAGGTGATGGGCCCTATTAAAGGACTGAGGCAGGAGAGTGATGCTTGATTTGCATATTAGATGATCACTTTGACAATGGCAGGAGGATAGAGTGAAAGGGAGCAGGGCAGGAAGGGTGGCCAGTTAGAAGCTATTACAGGAGTCCAAGAGAGACGGTGGCAGCCTGCGAACACCAGGCGCAGGAGGAAGTGATTAGGGGTCCATCAGGGAGACTCGATGAGGGGAGTGGAATTGTGGGGTGGCACGGAGGCCCTCAGCTTGAGCTCTTTGCTGACATGGGGACCACTGGGAGATGAGCAGTCAGGAGGACTTGCTGATCTGGAGGTGCCCGCAAAGCCTGGCTTACTGAAAGGGCTCACCCTGGTCTGGGTGAATGGCGCCCCCTGGAGGTTGTATGTATTGCTCTGGAGGAACATCCCGATAGAGAGGAGCAGTTGGGCAGTTGGGTGCATGGATGTGGAGCCTGGGGTAGAGAGAGATACGGACTGGGAGTCAGCAAGGTAGAGCTGGGAGGGTGGGATGGCCCAGGGAGAAGGGGCAGAGGGAAGAGAGCAGAGGGCTGGGCGTCGAGCTGTGGTGTCAATTGCAACATTTGTGAGGTGGAGCTCAGCCTGGCCTTAGGCCCACACCGCAGCCAAGATGCCGTTGGCCAGAGTGGCAGCCCTCGGGCCAGGTGTCTGGAGCCCCCAGGGAGAGGGCACATCTCTGTTCTTGGTGCCAGCTCCGCAACCTGCATCCTCTTCCCTTCCAGGACCGGACGAGGGCTGCCCTCTTGGACAACCTTCACGATGACCTCCATGGGCACACACAGGCCATGCTGGGTCTGGGCCCAGAAGAGGACAAGTTTGAGAATGGGGGCCACGGGGGATTCCTGGAGTCTTTTAAGGTATGGGCACAAGAGTGGCCAAGGATCGTTGTGGCAGGGAGGGTCAGGACAGACAAGGGAAGAGGCCCAAGGTCCACATGATCCTGACCCCAGGGCCCGAGTGCCAGCCAGAGGTGGCAGGACCAGCAGGGCGGCGCCGGTGTTTGCGGGGGCAGAGGCATCAGGAAGTGTGAGTGGTGGGGGTAGCCAACAGCGTCTGCCCCACCCTCTGCATTCTTCCTTGATCTGGATCATCTCCTCCGGGCGGGAGGCTGACAAGTGGGGACAGGGAAAGAGCAGGAGAGGAGCCAGTGCAAACCAAGTGCTTTACTGCTTCTGGCTGCCTCCTTCTGTGGTCAGGGTGCCCAGGGCAGGACACAAGTCCTAGGTGTCTTCTGCAGCCAGGGTTGGGTACTGCAAAGATGTTTTCCAGCTGGCAGGGCACCGGAAGACTTGGCCAGGGCCAGTGTGATGGAGTTAGAGGCAAGTCCCCGTGAACTTTGCAAAGGGAAGAACTTTCTAAGCAGAATGAGCTACTAAAAAAAGTAGTGAGCTCCCTGTCCCTGGAAGTATTCAAGTGGAGGTGGAACAGCCACTTAGCCTGCATGGTGTAAAAAAGGCTCACTGTCACGTGCTTGCCAAGTACTTGTTGGTGCAGATGGCACTTACCTCCAGCATCTGATCTGAGCCTGGCTGTCACCCTGTGCTGCTGGCACAATGGACCTTGTCATTTCTATTCACAAGGGGACAGGATCAGAGGCCATGGGGCTTCTCAAAGCCTTATACCTACTTAGAGGTAAAGCCTTGTTTCGAACCCAGGCTTTCCGGCCCTTAGGTCAGTGTTCTGCCGAATTGCCCGTTGTAGAATGGTTTAGAAAGCTACCGCTTTGGGGACAGGGTGTGGGGTGACGGGTCGACCTGCCTCTATTAGAGTCCCAGCTGTGTGATCCTGGGCACGGTCTTCAAAGTCTTGAAGCTACAGTTCTCTCATCAACAACCCAGGGATGAAAAATGGGACCTCTGTCCTAGGGTTGTTGGGAGGACTCATTGGAATGGTCTGGGAGAGGTCACGTGGCCTGGAATAACGTAGCTGCCCAGGGAACGTGGGAGCGGGTATTATTGTCTTGTAAAGTGAAAGCTTAACACACATTATCCGCTCAGAAGCCTCACAGCTGCCCCTCTGTGCCTGTGGGTAAGCCTATGAGGGGTGTGATAGTTTTGATATAATAATTCACACCCAATTTTAATAAAGATGATCATAATTTTACATGTGAGGAAACGGAGACTCAAAGAGATGCAATAATTTGTCCCAAGTCACCCAGCAGATACCAGAGTTGAGTCTGTGTCTGCCAAATTCCAAAGCCCGTGTTCCTCACGGCCACATGACCCTGCCTCTGGGTTCCCGACTCAGTTAAGATTCCGCCTGTGTTAGCCTGGCCCGGGCAAGCCTGGGGTCTGTCCCTTGCTGCCAGGCTGGACCGCAGAGAGCTGGGCAGGGCCCTGTCGGCCCTGAGGGCCAGCTGCCGAGATTCCTCACGAGGGTGTGGGCAGGCGCCGAGCTGCGTGTCCAGGCTGGTGGGAGATTCCTGGGGCATCTGTTTCAGTCCTGACGGACAGTGGCAGCCAGGGTGAAACAGGAGAAACTGAGAGGTCAAGAGGAAAGGGGGCCGCGGGAGAAGAGGGACAGGGCTGGAGAGAGGGAGCCGGGTCAGCCAGCCCAGCAGGGGGAGGGAGGGTAGGAAGACCACGTGAAGAGGAGAACCTCTGCTGGCTCCGCCCCACATCATAGCAAGCCTATCAAATGCGCCGGGTCCCACGGTAAATGTAATGTACATGTGACTTGAGCTGTAGTGGACTGCAGATATTTAAAGGGACATTTGTCGCATTCTGTTTTGCAGGTTGCTTTCTATATTTTGGAGTTAACAATTGTTTTCTCAGGTTTCAAATGTTTTTACACCCCGGAAAAGCTCGTAGGCCGTGGACGCTCTGCCCGTGGTGCCCCGTGCTTAAAACAGCCCAGCAGCTCCCTGCAGGCTGCGGCTCTAAAGGGGAGTGACCCGAGGCCATGCTCCAGCCCTTGCGTCTGGCCTTACCTAGCACGTTGGAATGAAGGGGTTCCCGAGAGAAGGAGATGCTTCAAGACTTTATCATTACGTGCCTTTGATCCAGTGATCCAGGCCGTTTTTCTTTCCAACCCGAAACCCTTCCAGCTGGAGGCTGAAGCCACCCCCATCCACATTCTGCTTCTGGGCCTGTGTCCGAGGTGGCCCTGTGGGGTGAGGGAGGGGACTGTCACGGTCCGTGGCGCAGAGCAAACCTTCAGAGCTCTGACCGTCACGAGCAGCCTTTTTCCCTGTCCCTGTCATCCCCGCTGGGGAATGCGAGCCCTCTTGCCCCGTCCATTTTGTCGCTGTCTCCAGGTGTCCCAGGCGCCGAGGCAGAGCTGGGGCCGGCCAGGCGCACAGCGGGACGCAGCCGGCTGCCTGGGGGATTCTGGTGTTGGAGCCGTGGTGCCTGTGGTCGGGCTCGGGGTCTGCCCTGGCTCAGGAAACGGTCTCCTTCTTTGGTATTTTGTCCTAGGCACCTTGGGTGGTGCTGTGGTATCAGAATTATTGGCATTCCTCGTGGGGTTTCTCATCCAGGCTTCCACAAAATCCTTTTTGCAAGAAGTGGCTTGTGAAATGATTCCAGGGAGGAAAGTTACATGTTCTATCTCCTTCCTCTTAAAGTTCCCACCTCACAGGTGCATGGGAACATAATCCGGAGTTCCCAGGGCTGAACGTGATCTCAGCCACCCATCCCCTGCCTCTGCGCCTGTCCTGTCCTACCCTGCAGTCCAGGGACCCTTCGTCCCTCTGCCGAGAAGCAGCCCCGTCACTGCCCTAGACTGTGCTCCTGGCCCCTTGCACCACTTAGGATAGCTCTCCTGCCCAGCCGGCTTCAGCTCCCCTGGCTTCTACTTCGGTGTTTCTTCCATGAGAAACAGGACCGTTGGTTTGTGCACACCTGGACCTGCTTCTGAGCCGGTGCTTGGAGATGTTCTCAGGAACCTGCCAGTTCTACAGACACTTCCAAGTTTTGCATTTTCACTTAGTGGGTAATATAAAAAATATATTTCCAGTCATAGAGACTAAACTTCTGCAGTGAAACTCACAGTTGAAATACATAAGTAAGCAGGCAGGTTGCCCTGGTGTTGTGTGAGGCGTCTATGGCCATAGTCCTGGAGCCTTGCAAGAATATTTTTCTTTATGAAGGAGCTGTCTGTTACTCACACTGGGAAAATATTGATCTCTAGACTGCTCGCAAATGCCATTTGCAGCTACTGCCAGTTGTTGAAGTTTTTGTAGGTCCCTAATGAAAAGAAAAGAAAAAGTGATGCTACTTGATGTCCCGACTTAAAGCGTGTGAGAGCCACATTTTGAGAAACCCTGAGCTAGCCCAGCCCTCCGTTGAAGTCTTCATGCAGCTGGGGCACTGGCTGGCTGCGGGGGAGAAGGTCACCTGGCAGCCCCAGACCTTGGACCACCTAAGGCTAGGAGCTGTCGGGTGAATGTCTCCCAGCCTTTGAGGGCTGTGTGAGTTGATGTGCGGCTCTGCTCTGACCCCTAGTGGCGGGAGAGGAGCACCAGGCTGCAGCAATCTTGGCAGAGTACCCGCAGGCTGGCGTGGCCCATGGGTTGGAGCTCTGGGCTGTCCGAAAGGAGATGTGGAGAAGTATTTCCTTCTCCTGTCGGCTTCTCCTTTATCTGTGCTGTTAGTGGGAAAGGAGACCCTGTTTTGGACCTCCAAGTACTTCCTGATTAGGGGCCATCACAGCCGGCAAGAAATTAGCCCCTTTCTCTCCTGGGGTACCCGCTTCTATGGGTTACTTGGTCCAGACAAGCATGTGTCCCCCTCAGGGGTCATCCTTGTGCATTGGGTCTCTTGAGTTGAATGTGTTAAGTTGAAACAACTCACGAAGCCCATTTTTAAAGAAGTGAGGTTTGTGGTTGGCCCAGAGGAGATGTCTCTCTTCATGACACGCACTGGTCCTCAAACCCTGCTGAAATGAGGTGACTTCAAGCAGACCTTGAGAAAGTGAGTCCATCCCTCTTTTCTTACTCCCCTAAAGGAGACCTCGCTCACAGGTAGGCTGCGAGGTGCGCTGAGGGCCGGGAAACCGTGGTGGCTAAGGACGGGCGACAGGACCGGGGTGACTAGCTGGGAGGTGAGCAGAGTCTAAGGACAGTTAGACAGTTACACAGGTGGGTCCAGTTGTGGGAAGTATGGAGTAGATGGGTCTAAGACGCCAACATCTAGAAATGGTAGGATTTCCGTTCTGTGCACAAAAGACCTTTTCAAGAGCCCGGCTGTTCCCCACTGGACAGGCAGCTGTGAAAGCAGTGAGCAGCCCGTCCCTGGGAAGGTGCAAGCAGAGAGGACATGAGCTGTGGCCCGGATGTGCAGGGGCTGGGTGGGAGAGGGGCCGGGCCGTCCGTGGAGCCTGCCGATGCCCCGGCAAAGGCTCCGTGTGCCTGTCCGCTTCTCTCCCGCCCCTGTGTTTCCACATCGCTGCCTTCTGTCCTCTTCTGCACCCGGCACCTGGCTCTTCGGCCCGACTTGAGAAGGCTGGTCGCCCAGCTCTGCGTCAGATCGAGATGTGCCATGAGACCATGTCACTGGGCGATGTTGTCCAAAGGCAGCATCACTTTAGGGTTTCCAGGTAGCCATCCTTGCTCTCTTTTTCTGTCCCTCAGAGTGGGAGGAGAGAGGACCTTGAGCAAGCAGGTGTCACGCCAGGAATTTGTCATCCTCACACAGGGACTGTCAGTGCATCGTACAGATGAAGAGACTGTGTCTCAGAGAGGTTCACGCCCCGTGCCTGGAACACCCAGGATTCAGACCCTGCACATCCCTGAATTCCCCGGCAGCCCGTTGTCTCCCCTGCCTCACTCACTCCCTCAGCAGCGCCAGGCACACGTGAGGAGGGTATTCCTCCCGGGCATCAGTTGGTATTTTTTTGAAGGGAGGCTGAAACCCCTTGGTTTCTAATCACCCTCAGTCCATCAACCAGTTGAATTATATGTTCAACTGGACTCATTTTCGGGTTATTGGGACCCTTTCATTGAGAGCCCAGGGTCCCGGGTTTGGGTCCTGGTTCCATCTCTTACTTTTGGTGTGACCTGGGGCCGTCACTTACCTTTCAGGACCTTGCCTACCAGCACCTGTCCTCTATGCGTCTCAGAGTTGTAGGGACTCGGTGAGATCATGTATGTGAAGCTCAGTAGACCAGATACCAGCACACAGGGCTCATTCCACACGTTTTTACTCTTTCCTGGAAAGAGACAGTGAGAATACATCTGAACATAAATGATTCATGGACGTGTCAGAGTGGATGACGATGGTGGTTGCACACACCAGGGCCCCAGAGGAATATATTGAGCTTGATGGAGCACTTGACTCATTTAAGGAAACTGGCTGTTTACCCAAGGACACCTCAGAGTGGTGCCACACCTTTCCTGCTTTTGGCTTTCAAAGTGCCCAGGGCTTAATGATCTTTGGGTGGTGGCATGAATAGAATGTGCCAGCCATTTTAGCCATGTTGCAGGAGACTGTTGCTAGGTGACTCTTCTGTGGTCTAGCAAGAGAGCTGCTGTCCTGGCGGGGGCGTCTTTGGCTCAGGCAGGACAGGCCAGATGAGTAATATCAGGGGTACAAGGCTGGTGGGCTCTGTCTCATTCAAGGGGAGCTCGCCTCTAGCGCAGTCAGATTTATGAACGGCCCTCCTTCCAGAGCCAGCTTCCCTCCTCGGGACAGGAAGGCCGGCAGGCTGCGGTCCTTGGCCGTTCCTGAACTTGCAGAGCTCGGGCCCTGCTGTTTGGGCTGGCGGCAGTGTTCTTGCCGATTCCTTGGGACTGCCTTTCTGTAGGCCAGGCTCTTCCCTCGATGCTTCAAGGGAGGGAAGGGCAACATTGCCCTCGGACCATCTGTAGCCTGACACGTGGAGTGCGCAAGCAGACACGTGTTTGTTCACGTGTGGGTATGAGCCAAGTGAGGGATGGGAGCAGTGTCCACGCGTCTGTTCCTCTGTGTCTGTTTCCTGAAGCTGAGGTTCTGAGAAGACCCTGCCGCGACTGGCTCGTGCAGTGAGCAAAGCCCATTGGCTTGCTTAACAAGAAGGCCCCAGGTGACAGGTGGCTCAGTGTGGTCACGGGCAGGCAGATTCCTTCCCCGTTCCCCTCTGCCAGCCCCATCTTGTCAGCTTTGCCCTTAGGCTTTGTCCTTCACAGCCCAAGGTGGTGGCTGCAGTTCTAGGTACAGACATGTCACACCTTTTTTGGGAAACACTGAGAAAAGCTTTCCTCAGAGCCCCCAGCAGGTGTCCCCTCATGTTCCACTGGCAAGGGCATGGATTACGTGACTGCCATAGATGGTCCCGATTGACTCCTTTGTCCTGTGGAGGAAGCTGGACCAGACAGAGGCTCTGCCAGCCAGCGTGGAACAGGACGGGATGGCACTTATATGTGAGCAACTAATAATATTTGCATCTGTGAGTCTTCGCATGTGGCTCTGAGGCCCTGGGGCCCTGGACAGTGAATGAGCACAGCGGGCGCGCCCCCACGGCCTGGGCCTTCCTGCATCGCCCTGGTTTTAGGAACGCCTCGTGTCCCTGCTGCCTTGCACACTCCTCGGGGCGGGGGCCATGCCTCGCACGCCGTGGCTGCCCTCCTGCACGTCTCCCGGTGTGTGGCACAGTGCTGGGCACGCAGGGAGCACCTGACAACTGCTCGTTAGTGACAGTGAGAGTAGCCACAGTTCTTGGGCACTTAGGGTGCACCGGGCCCTCTGCTGAGAGCTTTATATGCGTGGCCACCTGCCCATGTTGCTGAGCGACTGAGTGATCAGAGGGATGTGGGGTTTGGGGGTTCCTAGGGAGACACTTCCCTTCCTAGAACTCTTGTGTCATCTTCGAAGGCCTCCCGGCCCAGGGAGTATCATCCTTGTGGTAGGTGGGACCCTCCAGGGCTTCCCGCCTTGGGAAACCCTCTCTCAGCTGCAGTGAGATGTGCCTGCCTCACTCTAACCGCCCCCGTTGGGTCGGGTTCCAGAGCGACGCAGGAGGCCTGCAGGCAGCGTGAGAGCTGCCATCGCCTCCCAGGTCTGTCCCTGCCGTGTGCTCAGCAGGCTTCATTTTAACTCTCTCTCCTGTCCTCGTGTGCACAGGGACAAGCCCCTGACGGTCCTGGTTGTCCCTTCTGGGACACTTCACATTGTGCCCTTGGCTCTTTGGTGGCCCTAAGTGGGCTCAGGGCTCCATGTGGCCTGAGCAGCTCCAGGCCACTGAGGGCTCCAGCTTGGGGTCTGAGTGTGCACGTCCCGTGTTGGCAGCTGTGCCAGGGGGCGCCCTGGTGTTTGGTGTTTAGCCCCTGCGCGTCTGAGTTGTGGACCAGGGCACGGATCGGGAGGAGCTCTGGCCACAGTTCACCGACTTGCACAGGCGCGCATTGGGGTGACAGCAGGAGGGATACCCAATGTTTAAATATAGAAGGACACCTAGTTTTCTGGAAGAATAGAGTCAAGTGGGGGTGAAGGATGTGGCTACATGATGCTGTTTGGACCACGTCATTCTTGATTCATAGATGAGGAAGCTGCAGCTTAAGAGAGGCAACGAGACCGGGGTCACACCGGTTTGGTAAACCGTCCAAGCCATTTTTCTCCCCAGTAATAACCTCTGTCCACCTAGCAGGGGATCTGGGGCACTGGCCCCTCAGACGCCTCTGGCCAATATCTTCCCTCACCTCTGTCTGCAAAGAGCCACCCATGCCCTGAGCAGGTGAAAATCCTCTGCAAAACCTAGGGATTAGGGTGCAGGCCGTGGAGAGAAAATGAGAGCGTGTGCTGAGTGTATGCACACACGTGTGCACGTGCTGAGGGCTGAGTCCGCAGGCCCACTGAGAGGGCGGAGCATTTGGGGGGCCTGGTTCCAACTCCCAGGCCCCCACCCCTGCTGTCCCCCCAGAGGGCCATCCGCGTGCGCAGCCACTCCATGGAGACCATGGTGAGCAGCCAGAAGAAGCCACACAGCGGGGGTCTCCCTGGCAGCCTCAGCGGGGGCATCTCCCACAACAGCACGGAGGTCACCAAGACCACCTTCTCGGTAAGTGCCTGCATGTGCGGGGTCCCCGCAGTCATGGTTGGGGAGGGGTGTGTCACCCAGGCTTGGACCAGGTGCTGAGAGCGGGGCGAGTTTGATGACGGAGGGAAACAGACACTGCCCCTGAAATCGGAGCCTCCAGCCAGGCGGCACCTGGGGCTGGCCCGGACCGGTGCCTTCCTGTGGTCCTGTTCCCTGAGCGTCCTTCACACCTGGGCCTCCTCCTCCGGGCCAACCCTGCGAGGTGGTCCTGGGGAGCGTTCCTCCGTTCAGGGGCTCGGGACTCGTGCCTGTGAGAGAGGTGTCCTTCCTTTGGTATTACTAAGGGCAGTAGTAGCTGCCCCCTGCTTGCTGTGCGCCAGGCAGCGAGCTAAGTAATTCGTGGATTGCTGTCACAGCCGTGTGAGGTAGGAACGGGTGTGCTCTCCATTGCACGTTTGAGGAAGGGGAGGCCCAGAGGGGTCAGGTAACATGCCGGAGGTCGCCCCGCTAAGCCAAGGAACTGGGATTTGGATGCAGGTTGCCCAGATCCCAAGCCTTCACTCTAAGTCGCTGTGTGCACAGTTCCAAGAAAAGAGAGCCTGGCCGCTCTGTGGGTTTGGGTCTGGTCGGCTTGCACCAGGAGCTGGCCGGGGGACGAACCCCAGAATGCCTTTGGGTGCATGCGCGTTGGGGTTTTTCTCTTTTTTTTTTTTGGTAATAGCAGAACATACCTACCATGATACTAACAATTCACAGTATAAATGACTTTATATAATTCATTTCATTTACCCAATAGTATTTTTGTAGCTATTATCTTGCTCCTCCCAGAAAGTCTGTGAAGTGAGCAGGGCAGTGGTCTTCAGTCTGTGGATGAGACTGAGGCCCAGAAACTTCCCCCCTTGTCCAAGGTTGCACAGCATGTGGATGGCAAAAGTTGGGGCCTGGGTTCGAGGCCCGGCGGGGTCTGAGGATTGGCTGCAGGCTCTCACCTCCTGCTTCTCAATCTGCCCCTCCACCGTCCCCTGCACATGGCAGAGGCAGAGCCACATTCTTGGCAGGCTCCCTCTGCCGTGGGTGCGTGTGGACCTGGCTCTGCCACTCTCGTTCTGTCTTGGTACTGTGACGCCCAGCTTGGACACATTCATTTGCAAGCAGTGGCTGCAGAGTCAGGAGCCCTGGGTTCTTACGCTTGCCCTGCCAGAGATTCGCTCTGTGACCCTGAGCAAATTCCCTCGCCCTTGACTCCACAGCTTCCTCCTCTGTAGAACGGGGTCCGTCCCAGGGCTCCCTCAGCTTGTGGTTCCCAGTCTGTGACCCCTGTGAATCGTCCTGCCTTTCTCAGTATGTGGGGTTCTCCTCAGGGTGGCCCTGACCCCGTGTTCCTCCAAGAGTTCTGGTCTTCAGCGACTGTTACCTGGGGCCCTATGGGTCGGGTTAAGAAGACGGGGAAATGGGCTGCAAACGGCGTGAGCCTTGGGTTTCAGCTGCGGTTACCCAGACCCCGGCCTGGCCTTCCCGGCTTGCTGTTTCCTGGGATCGCTCCAGACCCGCTGCGGGGAGGGTGCAGGGCCATTTGTGGACCAGAAAAGGGGATGCAGGGAAGGAGATCTGCATTTGGGGAGTGAGCACTCATTTTGGCGGTCTCATTGGCAGCCTCCAGTGGCGGCGGCAGCGGCGGCTGCGGCGACCGCGAAGAACCAGTCGCGGAGCCCCATCAAGCGGCGGTCAGGGCTCTTCCCCCGTCTGCACACAGGCTCGGAAGGCCAGGGGGACAGCCGGACTCGATGGTAACTGCCCAGCGTGGGTGTGGTCAGCTCTCTCGGGAGGGGTGGCGCTGCTTCGGGAGATGGCGTCCTTCCAGCCCTGGTCCCCATGCCGGCCCCACACACCCGCTGCCACTCCCTCAAGCCCTTTACCCGCAGAGGCAGCGCAGCAGTCTCTGCACCGGACAGTCACGGTTGTTCTCGTCCCATTTTACCCAAGCTAGAAATGTTGCTTAAATTCTTTGCTTCCTTTTCCAAAGCCTACTCAAAGGTCCTTTTTATGGAAGTCTTCCCTGATCCTGCCAGGCAGAGTTAATTGATCCTTCCTTTGGGCTTCCAGAATGTTCCTCTTCTTCTGCTTTTTTTTTTTTTTTTTTAAGCAACTCTCTTATCATACTTACCCTGTTCTTGCTAATTGCCTGTCTTATCCTTTAATCGGTGAGCCCCTTTACTGTTTAATTCAGCCAGTAGCATTCGGTGAGTGCCTGCCCTGGGCTGGGCTCCGAGCTCAGATGGGAGCTCCAGGAGCTTGTAGCCTCGGGAGGGAAGGAAGGCGTGTAGGTTGGCTCCCAGTTTCCAAGTTGTCTGCCTGTGGCCCTGGAGGTGGCACCAGCCCCGAGCTTGGGCATGCAGGCCGGGGGGCGGGTTTATGGAGGGGGCAGAGGGCTCCGTTTGGAACCTGCACCTGTGAGTGAGTCCTTTCGGCCCACTTTGTGGAGAAATCCAGAGCTCTGAGGTCAGGGTCACTGGTCTTGAGCTTTGGAAAGAGGCCATGACTGAAGAAGGAGAGGTGGGAGTCACTGGCGTGGAGGTGGTGGTTGAGGCGGATCAATGAACACAATCACCCAAGGGCGTGTAGAAGGCCTGGGGACACCGGCACTTACGGGCAAGCGCAGGAGAGAGCGAGCCAGTGAGAAAGACAGGAAAGGGAGGTGAGGAGGGAGGGGGAGAGCCTGGAGAGGGGGGTCTCAGAAACGAGGGGGGAGCCATTCCAGGAGGGAGAGTCAGCAGGACCGGACGTGCAGAGCAGCCTGGCACAGTGACCCAGGCCCTTGCTTGGGCTGATGGCTAGCAGTTCATTAGTGGCCTCATTAGAAGTACATTGAGGCACTTCATGCCTCTAGGACGATTGTGATAAAAAAGACAAATAGCAAGTGTTGGTAAGGATGCAGAGAAATTGGGACCCCCCGCAGTGCTGGTGGGGATGTAAACTGGTGCGGCTGCTTTGGAAAACAGCCTGGCAGATCCTCAGAGGGGTAAACGTGGAGTTGCCCTAGACCCAGCAATTCCACTGCTCGGTGGATGCCCAAGAGAAGGAACACACACGTCTGCCTAAGAACCAGTGCACGGAGTTTTGTAGCAGCACTGGTCATCACAGCCGAAAGTGGGAACGACCCAAGTGCCCATCGCTCGGTGAATGGGTAAATAAAATGCGGTGCATCCAAAAGTGGAGTATTATCTTGCAATAGAAAGGAGCGAAGTTCTGATTGGTGCATGCTACAGCGTAGATGGACCTTGAAACACTATGCTTAGTGAAAAGCCATTCACAGAAAGACCACGCCATACTCTATGATTCCATTTATACGAAATGCCCAAAAGAGGCAAATCCATAGAAATAGAAAGGAGACTAGTGGTTGCCAGGGGCCGGCGAGGACGGTGAGCGTGTCTAGGGTTCTTTTGAGGGGGATAGAAATGTTTTGAAATTAGATGTTGGTCGTGAATATACTAAAAAAATCATTGAATTGTACACTTTAAATGAGTGAATTGTATGTAGATTATATTGCCATGAATCTGTTTCTAAGAATAAAAGTACGTTAAGGACTTTTATTCTTAGTGGGCACAGAGCAAATGGTGGGCAGTGGCACATGGTCCTTGTTAAACTGCGGGAGGGGGACACCCTTGGGCGCCGGGCCGGGCGCAGCCCATTTACCCAGATGCCCCCAGCCCTGAGGGCGGCCTCAGCATGCGCGTTCTGGGGGCTCACCTTGCAGTCTTTGTGAGGGGCGTCCCCTGAAGCTATGCAGCCATGGTCCTGCCTGCACCCCGAGGAGAGCGTGTGCGCTGCGTTGGCTCCTGGCTGTGGCGGTGGATGGCCCAGACCCCACTCCGTTCCCTCTGTGGCCTGCTCTTGACCTGGAGCTCTGCCAGCGGGTGCCCTGCTGGGGTGGGGGGTGGGCTCGGTGGCCTCCAGCCAGGACCCCTGCCCGGGAGCTCTTGACTCTCCCCCAGCAGCTTGCCGTAGCCCCTCACAAGCAGAAAACCCCGTTGCCTGCCTCCCCTGCCCCCGCCGCAGTCTCTGAGCCGGGCTTGGGCAGGAATGGAGGCCCTGGCGGCCATGCTCTGTCAGGGAGTGCTGTGGCCCCCACAGGTCCCCATGGAGAGCTGGCGGGAGCTCTGCCTCGGGCGTGGGGGTGAGGTGGGGGTTGGGGACCGGTCCCCTGACCTCGCTCCTCTTTGTGCTCTTTTCCTCAGTGACAGTGCATCCAACAACCCCAAGGCTCTGGATGGCGGGCACTCTTCTCAGGAGATAAAGTCGGAGACCTCCTCCAATCCCAGCTCCCCGGAAATCTGCCCCAACAAGGAGAAGTACGAGGGGGGGTTGGGGGAGGGCGGCTGGCTTGGCCCCTTGGAGCCCTGGGGCCTGTCTCTGCTCCAGGCACCTCTTGCTCTGGGAGCTCCACGGAACACAAAAGCCAACAGGCAGGGCATGGGGAGCCGCTGCGGGGCGGGCTGGCGGGCAGGCTGTCTGCGGGAGGCCTGCCTTGCCCTGGGTCCTGGCGTGTGACCAGGGCCTGCCTTCCTGTCCCCTGCAGGCCCTTCATGAAGTTGAAGGAGAACGGCCGGGCCAACATCTCCCGCTCCTCGTCCAGCACCAGCAGCTTCAGCAGCACAGCTGGGGAAGGCGAGGCCTTGGAGGAGTGTGACAGTGGGGTAGGTGTGGCCCTGCCCGACCCTTGGGCGTGGGCGGCCCCCGGGCCCCCCAGTTAGAACAGCCCCTGTGGGCAGAGCCCCGCCCAGTCTCTGCGGATAAAGGGGATAAAGGGGACGTATAGAAACAGGTGGTCCATGCAGCCTCTCCACCCTCTGGGGGCCCTGGAACGACCCAGGAGCAGCAGCAGAGGGTCAGAGGCCAGGCTGAGGGCGTCCCTGCCATGGGGTTCCTGGCTGGAGAGGAGAGGGGTCTGCACTCCATGGGTGTGGGTCAGGGGCGCTTCCTGGGGGGCAGAGGGGAGACAGGGTTGGAGGCAGCAGCAGGAAAGAGCATGTCCCAGTGGGGGGAGGGGCGCGGGGGCAGGGGCGGCCCTGGGACGGCTGGCTGGCCTCGCTCACCCGGCCTCTCTCCCCAGAGCAGCCAGCCGTCCACAACCTCGCCCTTCAAGCAGGAGGTGTTTTTCTACAGCCCGTCCCCCAGCAGCGAGAGCCCCAGCCTGGGGGCAGCCACCACGCCCATCATCATGAGCCGGAGTCCTACAGGTCAGTGGCGTCTGGCGGTGGCACCGTGTGGCCAGGGGCAGGGACTGTGCCCTGACCGCTGTTCATGGGGCGTGAGCCGCAGGCACACTGAGCTGGCCAGTTTCTGCCCCAATCACAGCGTGAGGCCCTGGAGCTCCGCCAGCCCCCTGCCTCGGCTCCTCAGCCTTCAGGGGCCCATGGGCTGTCCTCGCCTCACTCGGGGGGACTCAGAGGCTCAGAGAGCTCAGTGATTTGCTGGAGGGGCTGGGAGAGTGTAAGTTGAAAGCTGAGCATCTTCCCACTGACCCCTCGCTCTGCCTCCTCACCGACTGAGGGGCCCTCTGTCACAGAGATGGTCCTCCAAATGCAAAGATAGTAGGTAGGAGAGTGTTGCGGGTGGAGGGAACAGCGTGTGGGGAGTCCTGGGGAGAACTGAGAGACCGCGATCTGGAATCGCATGTGGTTCACTGCAGCTGGAGTTCAGGAAGTTGACAGGGGACAGGTGAGAGAGGAGACAGTAGTTAGGAGACTAGGCCAGGGCTGCCGCGGAGCCCCTGGTGAGAATTTGGGCCTTATCCTGCAGGCAGTGGGAGCCATTGCGAGGTCTTAAGTTTTTGGAGGTTAAGTAGAGAAGCACCATGTAGAGGTGAGAACGACCATGTTGGTGGCTGCAGCGGGCTCAGTAGACAGGATTGGTGGGGGCAGGCGCAGGGGGGAGACCAGCAGGGGTGACGGTGAGCGGTGAGGGGGGGTGGGCCATGGATCTGCGGGGCGCTGGGGTGATGGCAGAAGCGCGTGGATTCAAGAGGTGCCAAGGAGGTAAAGTCTTCCGGGCTTAGTGGTGGGGGTTCAGGGAGAGCAAGGAGTCTGGGCCTTTTGGGGTTCTGTGACCCCTGCAGTTGGCCAGAGTAGGCGGAGGCAGCTCTGGGGAGAGGGTGCAGGTCCGGCACCTGAGGGGCGTGCTGGTGGACGTGCGCGGTAGGCACGGCAGGGCGCTGCGGGTGCTCAGAAGGCAGAGCCTTGTCTTGCCCTCGGGGACCGTGGCGGGGCAAGTGCAGGACTCTGCAGCCTGGGCCCTGATCCTGGGTCTGCCGCTTACCAGCAGTGTGACATTGGACAAGTTATGGAGCCTTTCTGTGCCTCAGTTTCCCCAAGCAAAAAAATGGAGGGAGAGGAAGTAGTTTCTACCCCCTGGTTGTGTGAAGATTAAATGAGCTTACACTTGTAAGAAACTCACAACTGTTAGCCTATGTGTTTGTTAAATAACAAGAATAGAACAATAGTGTAATCAGGTTCTCAGCGAGGAATGACCTTGGTCCTCAGGACGCATTCGGCAATGTCTGGACAAAATGACCTTTTGATTTTTATGGTTGCAGAACAGGCTGCTGCTGGCAGCTAATGGGCAGAGGTCAGGGGTGCTGCGAAGCATCCTACAGCGCACGGAGTAGACCCCACCATGAAGAATTATCTGGCCCAAAATGTCCATAGCCGAGGTTAGGACATGCTGATCTAAATGCTGGAGACGCAGAAAGGGCCCGTTCAGGCGCTCCCTCTGGCTGGCAGCTGTGGCGCTGGGCTGTAACCTGGCTGCCCAGCTGGCAGCCTGCCTCTCTGAGCCTCCGTTTCCTCATCTATAAAGTGGGGTAGCCATGCAGATTCTCTGATTTAAAAATATGAGACTTATTGAACTGTTGAAGGAATGAAGGAAAGAATACTTATCCAAGCTTGGCTCCTACTTGGTATTAAACAAATAGAAAAATAACCAAGGTTTTGAGTGAAGGGAGGCTTAGAGAGTGTCTGCCACTTACTGAAGGTCGCCCGGGGCAGAAGGAGACGTGGAATGGGCCGTAACTCCTACCTGCTGTTTCCTGCACCTTGTGCCCCTCTCCCCACATAGTATTTAACTCGGAGGGGTCCCCTTTCCCCCTGGCCCCAAGGAGGTTGTGCTGGAACCTGCAGCTCACCCTGGCCCTGCAAGACCTGGAAGCCTGTTTCAGGCTGTTCGGCTGCCTCTGAGGAGAGACAGGGATGAGGGGAGGGAGGTGGCCTGGAAGGGTGTGACACTGTCTTCTATAACCTCAGATGCCCTGACCATCGGTCATTTCATACCTGGGCTCCCAGGGCTTTGAGAAGGGGTTGGTGTGTCACACCGAGAGGTGCTCATGGCACTGGGAGGGACCCCTTGACTGAAGCACCCGGAGTAAGTCAGGGATCCCCAGGTGGAGGGTGCAGACTGTAGGTGCTCTCCCAGGGCCAGGTGTCTGCCCCCCACCCCGCCTGCCAGTGGTGTGCAGTGAGTGTTTAACATCTGGCTCTCTTGCCACCGTCCCCCTGCTCTGAAACATCTGTGAGCTAATTGTAAATTTTGCTGATGTAAAGGATCTAAAGCACATAATTTATAAATGACAAAATATACCATATTCTTTACTATAAATCCCATAGAACCAATTGATGCTCACAAAAACTCTTTTATTAATCATTTGCCTAACTTTATATCCACCGCCACCTCAAGGATGCAAATGACGAACAAGTGTAGTTCTGACGTGAATGGTGCTTGATGTAATTTTTGTCAGTGACATGAGCAGCTTCTTACTGAATTAGGCAGTGGTTTTCAAATACTCGAAGAATATTTCCTAAGTTCTTTGTGCTAGTCACAATGCTATAGACACATTATTTTCAAATTTAATCTCTGTTGCTAATATTTTCTCCATGAGTTTCTGAAGTCCATACAACAACACAATAGATTAAGCTGATGTGCAGCATTTGCTAATCTCAAGCAGCCAGTGTGCCCTGGGGTTGGGAAGAACTACCAGATAACAAGAGGCATAAATAACCTTAAAAGAATAAGTAATTGTAAAATGCAGTGAAATAACAAGGAAGTGATGACTTTTGAGTATGTATTACCTTGGATGACTATCATTTAATGATAAGCTGATGTAAATGAATGTGTAACCACTAGCTCAAAAACTTTAAGAATTGGCTCTTGTGAATTGGTGCAAGTCAGCTAGAGTGTCTAGTGGAGGGAGGAGGCCCCCACGCCCAGCCTCCCAGCCCTGTTCCCTCCCCACAGGCAGCCCACAGCCCAGGGCCTGTATAGCCCCACCCCCTCCTCACGGGCATTCTTTTTTTTTTCTTTTGGAAAAAGCAAGAACCACTTCTAATTGATGTAATTTCATAATAATAACATTTCAATAATGCAGTGTATAATACTTTTATAAGTGCACCAAGCTTTCTATTTTTAAAAAAATATTCTATTGTTTATGCTATTGCTGTTGTCCCGGTTCCCCGCCCTTTGCTCTCCATCAGCATTCTTCTTTTTCCTAGATGCCAAAAGCAGAAATTCCCCGAGGTCAAACCTGAAATTCCGCTTTGACAAGCTCAGCCACGCGAGCTCCAGTGCGGTGAGGATCGAGGGGTGTAGGGGTGGCTGGGGGAGCCTCCGGTGGCCCACATTCCAACCTCCGCCAAAAGTCAGCCTTGCTTCCTGGGGGCCCACCACAGCGGGGAAGGGAAGCTCTAGTCCGATCTGGGGGAGATGCTCTCCGTCCCACATGGTGCAGGCATCAGCCTGGGCGTCACCAGCCCCCCTCTGCCACACATCCTGTGTTAGAGCCACGCCCTTGGACACGCACAGATGTGAGCTGTGAACTGTTGGCTCCTGGGGCCTCCGGTCCCTGCCTGAGCTCACTGGGGAGTCGAGAGCTGAGGGCACCGAAGTTGCAGTCGGTGGGGATGATGTTGTCTAGTTTTATAAAACTCTTGTATGGATTTCTCTTGAAACAGGGTCACTAATGAGAAGGAGGAGTCCTTCGCCTGTCAAAGGTGGGTCAGGTGTTTGGCCTGCTGTGGCCACGTGGCCCAATAACCTTAGAGATCCTGACAGCGGGGGTCGGAGGAGGGACTGTCGCCTCTTCCGAAGCCTGGGTGGCCACTGGGATGGGGAAGAAGGCAGGTGGCCTCAGGCGTGGCTGGGAAGGGCTGTTTGGTAGTTTGGGCCAGACTCATGGAGGTGGTCTCCCCGCCCGGGAGAGCCTGGCCGAGGGGCCATAGTCCCGAGCCTGCTCTCCTCTCCTGGGGGGAGAGTCCTCGATTTGCCCCCCTTGGCCTTCTGCTCTCGGCAGCCTTTCCCTCCTAATGTCATTGACTGCGGCTGGGATGAGGCCCTCGCCTGAGTGGCCAGAGATGCCTCAGCGCCCTAAACGTTGTGCAGGCGACCTGAGGGAGGACTCTGCTCCCGGCCACAGCGCAGGGAGCGCGTAGTGTTCAGCAGGTCAGGGCCTGGGTCTGGCTCGCCTCAAGGCCTGCACTTTTGCTAGTGAAGTTAGTGGAGACCCTTCTGAATCCCGCCCCACTGTGGGGCTCCAGGGGAGCGAGTCGCAGTTGGAACCAAGGGGAGGGACAGAGCTGAGCCCACTTTATACACAACCTGAGCTGTGAGAAAACAGGAGAGAAAAGGGGAGCGCCAGCCCTGCCCCGACTCCCAAGCCAGATGCCTCTGTGCAGCAGGTTCATGTCTGTGCCCGGTGTCTCAGGCGGTCTCAAGCCTGTGGCCCCCCTGTCCTGGTGCAGCCAGTGGGCAACGGTGTTCTCCCTCCTTCCTTCCCCAGGTGTTCATCACCTCCCTCCTTCTTGTCTCCTCCAGGGAAGCCCCGATTCTGTCTTGGACAAGGCTCCTATCCTAGCAGTTTGGGGGTGCCATTCACTACTATGACCGTCACAGGCCTGTTGCTCCACCGGCCTTCTGCCCACCAGACCAGCTGTCTGTCCCAGTGTCCCGACCCGGCCACAGCCCTGCCCGCCCCTTCGCCAAGACGCCCTGCTGGCACCTCTCCGTCTCTGGACAAAGCCTCATTCCTCTAGTCTCCCCTGCTCCTGACCCCTGACCTGCCGTGCGTCCGGGTCATTTGTTATCTTGTTTTTGTCTGTGGAGGCAAGTGTTGGGCGAGGGGGAATCTGGGTACTGGGGACTTGGAGACCCAAGAGGCAGAGCGCGTGGGTGGGGACGTGGGCAGCGCAGGCCCTCGGCAGGGTTGCGCCTGGGCTGGGCAGCGCCGTGTCCTGGGCTGGGCGGGCACAGTGAGTGCGCTCTTGCCGGTGGAGGGAGCACTTTTCCAGGAGCCCACATGTAGTCCCTCAAAGATGTCCTGATAGAAATTGGCTCTGGTGCTCCCACATCTGTGGAGCTCCCAACATCTGCTCACTTCTGTGCTAGGAACTTCTCCCCCTCCTACTGACAGACGCCCAGGGCCGCCTTTGTCCCCTCTGCTGGCACGTCTTGAGCGCCAGGCCTGTGTGGGAGCGGGCGCCACGCCCTTCTTTCCGGCCTAATTTCACACAGGCTCCTGATGGCGGTTGCTGGGGGAGGAGCCCTGTGTCAGTCGCTCCCCTCTGAGCACATGTTTTTCCCAGGAAGGGGAAGGCAGCCGGCACAGAGAAGGAATTCGGAGAGAGAGCCAGGGAGTGCCCGGGCCTTGGCTGAGGAGAACCTCAGGCCTGATGGCCGGCGAGGCCGGGACCAGGTCTCGGTGGGCTGTGGAGGTTCGCCGAGAGTCACCTCAACCCAGCTCCTAGGTGCCAGCAGAGGGGCGATGTGGGGACGCCTTGCCAGGCGCCAGGCGTGGCCAGGCCGTCTGTGCGAGTAGAGCTGCGGTGCGGGGAAGGAGCGGCCTCCTCCTGCATTTCATGAGGGGAGCTCAGTGCTGCCTGGGGGCCCCTTCCAGCAACTGTGCCCTTGGGCTTTGTCCGGGCTGGATCCCCCAGTCCCCCGTTGCCACCGCGGGCCTATAGTGGCTGCCACATTGGTGGCATTCCTGCAACCCGGGGCCCCAGCCGGCACAGTTCAGATACCACCCGCCGCCTGCCCCCTCAGCCAGAGACAGCCGCCCCGCTGGGATGAGCGTGCTCTCTGACCTCCGAGGAGCAGAGAGGCCCTGTCCCGGCTTCTCACCACCTGCCCGCGCCTGCAGGTTTCTGCACCTGGCCCTGGCGGCATTTCAGGCCTCCCGTCCTCCGGGTGAAAACAGAGTCTGAAGAGCAGACCCTCAGAGGGCCTGCGATTTCAAGTGCGTAGGAGGCCTCCGGGACATGGGGCTGCCAGGGTGACGCTGGCGGGGCTCCTGCTTTAATCAGCAGATGATAAGGATTTCCCACCACATGCTTTATTTGCATCGGATCTGGGTTTATTCCCAAGTCAAGGCATATAAACATTACCCTTGTTTTTGACCAATGTGACCAACTTCCCTATTGCTTTTCCAGTTAGAGCAAAGCCTCGATCCTGGTCCCTCCACTCACGGGGACGTGGTGGGATCCTGGCTGCCGGCTGGCAGACCTCTCCCCTCATACTATTTGGGAAATGTGTTTGCTTAAAGCACTAGTCCAGTAGAATGTATTCTAGTTAGAAGGTCAACAAATGTCTGTTTAGAATTTATGACAAATCACCGTAACAGCTCCCACTGCTGGAATGAGGCCCACGGATGCTGGCAGTGCTCTGCTGGCTGAGTTTCTGAAGGAACTTGGAAGGTCAAACTGCATTTCTTTAAAAACAATTCCAGGGTTCTGGCTCGCTTCTCTGGAGAGCTGGTATTTACAGCTGCTCGGTGGTTGTACTGTGTTGTGTCCTGGTCTGGGGGTCCTCTGGGGTTTCCAGGCGGTCCCTGCTCGGCCCTACTTGGGAACCTCATACCCACCTTCCCCCGCTGCTCTGGCCGCTGCCCCCCACCCTCCCCACAGCCCCCACCTGCTGGGAGGGCTTTGCTCCTGCCTCCCAGTGGGTGCTGGTAGCTGGGTGTGTCCGGGAGCTGAGAGGTGCAGGTCTGCCCTGAGCATCACAGACCTGAGCTGTGGCGCCTGCCTTCTGTTTGCTGATGGGGATGCCCTGGGAATGGTCTGATATGCCCCTTCCTCTGTGTCCTGTGTCACCATCTCTAGACAGTCCATCCTGTGGCTTCCAGAATGTACATGCCCACCCCTGCTGAGGTCCTGGGGCTGAGGGGGAAGGGAGAACTGGGGCCTGGCCGTCTCTGCTCCCAGCGCGGGGCCTGCGCACGGCCTTCGCCACAGCCCCCCTGCCTCTGCTCTGGCCCCAGTGTCTTTCCTTTTATTGCTGCGCCCAGCCTTGGGGCTCGGACATTTGCTGAAGCCTCCTCGGTCCTTGCGACCAGCTCATCCTGACGGTGCTCACACTGGCATTTGAGGCCTGTGTGTGACCCCTGTACACACACCTGGCTCCGGGAACTGTCTGACTCACGGAGAAAACTATGCTTGCCAGGCTCCGTGGGGCACCCCTGCCCCTCTGCTCAGATGATGCTTAGCCACAGACGCAGAAGGAGCCTGAGATAGGTGTCTGTCATGAACGAAGAATAGTGTTTCTTGAAAAATATTCCGTAGTTCAGCCTTGTCAGTATCATCTTGCTGTCCATGCCTCCTGGGCTTCTTGAAGCATCTGATCCAATGATGTCATCTTCCAGAAGAGAAACCTCAGCTCCAGTGCGGGGAAAGAGAACTTGCTGGAGGTCTCATAAATAACCGGCTGGTGGCAAAGCTGGGGTTAGAACACACAGTCCAGGGCCCTTTCTTTGGCACTGCCTACATGGCTGGTTCAACAAGTGGCCGCATTTCCCGGGGCCCTGGCTGAGAGGTGTCCGCCGTCGGGGTGCAGGTGGGGCCTCAGACTCTGCTCCTTCCATCGGGAGGGATGCTGGGCTTTTCAGTGAGGGCCCTGGGGTTTTGGACGCAGCTTGGGCAAAGAAAGCGAGGAGGGAAAGAGATTTCAGTGGCTTGTTCCTGGGTGACATCGATTCTTCAACTCTGGTGTGTAAGGCGGGGGTGGAGGCCAGGGCATAGAGGCAGTTATCCAGCCCTCAGTTTCCCCCTTTTAAGTTGAGTGTAAATGAGAAGTCTTTGATTCTCCCTGATCCTTAAACAAAGATGGTTAGTAAAAATGTAGACTCAAGTGGCGAGGCGGGACGAGAGCCTGTTTCAGTGTCAGTTTCTTACCCTGACCGTTTGAGGTGCCAACGCAAACACTACCTTCTTCATTCCATTGCGAGGCAACAGAGATAGGTCTGTTGTCAGGGCACGGCTGGGGTCCATGCAGACCTTACGGCTGCAGGTGGCTGGCAGGGACCCGGCCACTCAGCTGTACTCAGGACTCCGCGGCTGCTCCCCCAGCCTGTAGCTGGCCCTTTCTGAAAGGCTGGAGGTGGGGGCAGGGGAGTTCGCCGAGGCTATCCCCGCAGCCTGCTGGGGGCGGGCATTCCCCTACAAGCTCTGATCTCCGTTTTACCACTAGCTCCTTGTCCCCCCGCCCCCCAACTCCACATATCCCTCCTTTTAGCTGGGCCACGTGCCCCTTTGTGGGGAAGGAGACAACCCCCACTAGGGCCAAGGACAGGGGAGTCCTGCCTGGGGCGAGGCTGCTGGGGCGGTGGCTTTGTTCTGTGCCTTGCCTGCCCTGGGGAGAGGGTGCTAGCTGGAAGACTGGAATTTAAATGCCATTGTCTTTGATTCTATGACATTTCCACTTGGAAGGGTCAGTGCCCCCCACCCCCCACCCCGCTCCTTAGCATGTGTGCCAACTCTCCCCTGTGATGCGTTCCCCGTCCCCACTGCAGCCTGGGGAATGCTGGCGTGGACGTGTGCTGAGATCCCTCTGTGTGACAGAACCTAAGAGCTGTAGCTTGGAGATGATGATCCACGTGGTGACGACTTTTCTTTCTTTTCTCTTTGCGGGGGGGTGGTTTGTAGACTCTGAATGCCTATGTGATGTAAATAGTGTACATTTAATTTATTGCTATGGTAGCACATTGTATTTGTTAATGTATAAAACAAATTCTAAAAGGTTGACAAATGTATATTTTGTTGCTTAAATGTGTCTTTGCAGAAATTGACAATAAATAACATATTTTGTGTCCATCAGCGGTGGGACTTCCTTGCTTGGGGCCCCTCTCCTGAGCGCCGCCTTTTAGTTCACAGGGGTTGAGTACCGGCAACCCATGGGCCATATTGGGCCTGTCGATTTGTTTCTAAAAAGTGGTTTAAAGTTTTCCAAGTACTTGCCGATGTTTAAAAAACTGACCACCATCAAAAGTTTTTTGAGAACCTAGAAATGTCACAGAAAATCTGAATTTTCTGCTTCTGCTAAAAATCAGAAGTGGGATCGTTAGAGCGGCACACACTGGGATCTGAGCACACCATCGTGCCCGCTACTCCCGCTGCTGAGGCCTGGAGCGTTTCACCCGTTCCTGTTCTTTGCGAGGCCCTGCAGGCGTCTAAGTTGGAGACCCCGCCATTCACCAAATGCCTTCAGCCTGGGATTTTCTTCTTTTTGCCCGCTTTCTTGCCAAATTCCCAATATTCTTTTTCCAGGATTCTTTCATGATTAAACGCCGTCCCTCTTATCTTCTTTGACTCCTGAATGGCCACACTCTTACATATAAATGCTTTGTTTTACAATTTTTGGATATAAATTTAGAAGTAATATCTGTATTTTTTTTTTCCTTAAGAAATTTAAAGGCAAGAAACAGGCCTTTATTTGCTGGGATTTGGTTGTGTGATCTTGGGCAAATTGCTTAACTTCCTGGATTTGCATTTTCTTTTATGTATAATTGGGAAAATAATCCACAAGGAAAGCAAAGCATGGGGATAAAAATGAATTTATAATTGGGAAAGAGCTTTGAAAGAAAATAAGTGTTATTCAAGCACCAGAGGTTCAATAATAATTGTTATTATAATAGCAATAAGAGCAGCAGACATTTATTGAATGCTTACCACGAGCTGAGGTGTTTTACACGTTCAGTCAGTTCTGCTGTAACCGAGCTCCTGAAAGGTCACAATACTATGCGAAATTGTGCAATTGTGTAACTAATTGTGTTAGAGTGGTGCAGCTCCTAACATGTGCTGTGCCGAGGCAGCTGGTGCATATTTGCAGCATGTACATGTGGGTTCCATGTGTTCCTATGTAGCTCGGTTCAGCTGGGGTATGGTTTTCTGCCTTCACTTAGTACTTCTCATGGGAGAGTTACATACTCAAACATGCAATTTATATTCTACTCATATTTTCTTCTAATATGTTAATTGCACTGGACCCAGTTACCATTTTGAAAACAAGTATTTCAGCAGAAGTGACTGTATTATCTCAGTCATCTGAACAGCCCATTAAAGCGTGCGTTATTGTCTTTGTTTCAATTAAAGAATCAATCAAATTTCAGTTTGGAATCCAAATTAGATGCAGGTTCACCTGGATATGCTGCCCTCCGCACGATGCTGTGATGTGGACTGTGTGTTCCCAGGTGCACAGCGACAGACCGGGAACGTGCATTCCAGTCCTTCCGTTTCCCTGCCCAGCCTGGGGCCGTGCTGCGGGGGCGCACGTCTGCGGTGTCCCCGGGCCGCTCCCCTCACAGCCATCGCATCACATCGGGTGGCATCTCCCCTGAGCCCACGGCATCAGGCTTCCTGTTTCTCAGAGGGTTAGGTTCCCGCTGTTGAGCCCTCATGGCTGCAGGTGAAGCTGCATCTTCTACACAAACACCCCCCTGTGCCCGTCTGCACCTCAGGGGCTGCCTGCTCCTCGGGTTCAAACCTCCTGCCCAGAAGCCAGGGGCTCACTGATTCCGTGGAGCCTTCGTGGAGGTTGGATGTGTCCTGCCCGTGTGGGAAATGGACACACGGATGACCGTCGTCTGAGGATAAAAGTGAGTTTATAATCGGGAAAGAGCTATGTCCCAGTCTCAGTCCCTCTAAACCTTCAGATTCTCTGCAAACTCACCTTTCTGCCTAGGTCTGTGTTCAGATGTCCTCACTAGATGGGGCGCTCTGTCAAGTTAGGGGCTCCTTCTCCAGACTCCGGTAACCTGTCCCCCCACCTCAGTGTCCAGCAGCTCGCCGCCGTCAGCAGACATTTGGGACCACTATTCTGCCTGCTGCCTGGGGAAAGGCTTTCCTGGGCAGCTGCTCAGGCCCTGCTCAGGTTCCCCGCAACCACACCTTACACGTACCTGCTGCATCCAGAGGTGAGAGCAGCTGTGCTCCACCCAACCCTCCTTTGCCCTCTGGGTAGTTGGCTCCAGTAACAACACTGCGGTTCCGTCCACTCTCCCCAGCAGATAAGGACAGTATCAATTCAGACCCAGTCCCGTTTATTTTGAACTTCAATTCACACCCGCCATGGCCGCCCTGGGGCAGTTTAGCGTACAGTCCAGTGTCTTGTGTGTGGCAAGGGCCCCCTTCTTGATCTAATCTCTGAACCCTCTTTTCAACAAGGTGTCCTCTTTGTCCTGCCCTTGGCCTGCCCAGCCCAGTTTTAGCAAAGAATCCTATTAAAATGGTTTATCAAGAACCTACCCCCTCCCCTGCGCCCACTTATCACCTTTGATATCTGATCAAGTTGCTCTTCTGCCACCCTTGATACCTAACCAAGATCCTCTTAGTAATTTTCCATCCAATCCTCGCCCTGCCTGGTGACTAGAAATGCCTACTTGCCCTTGTTGTGTTTGGAGTCGAGGCCAGCTTCTCTCCCCTAGTGCAACAGCCTTCAATAGAGTCTCCCTTGCCTGCCAACTCACCTGGGGCAGATTTTCTTTGACAGGTATCTGGTCCACCCTCATGCCCAAGCCCCTCCTCCTCTGCACTTTCACGCCAGTGCTGAGTTGGGGGAGGCGCAGGAGATGCCTCTCAATTGAGATGGTGCCTGAAAGACCACCGTGTTAATCTGGGGACTCTAAAATGCAGACACCAAAGCAGGAATAGGGAATTTATTCAAGGCAAGACCTGTGAGAGGAAGTGGGGATGGCGGTGGAGAAGGCAGGTAAGCTCTCTGACTGTGCTGCCTGCTGCCGAGGGAAGGAGAGCTGGGAGAGCCACGGCGGGATGGAGGCCCCTTTGCTCGCTGTCCAGTTCTAAGAAAAATCTAGCAGGGCCTCTGGGGAGGGCCCTCGCTGAAGTTACCCACCGGAGAAATCCTGCATGTCACAAGGGTGAGCCTAAAATTACTCTGCTTGCCCTACCCAGTCACTGGGTGAGGGCAGCCTACGGGAAACCGGGCCTTGGTGTAGACACGGTGATGGATTTCTGAGGGCAGCCACTGGGGCCGTCGGACAACTACGCCCCCTGCAGTTGGAGACCTGAGAGGCACCTTCTTCTCATAGTCTTCCTATGAACTGCCCCAATTTTGGTTGTTTACAATTGCCCCTCAATTGCAGAGAGGCCTTCATTAGTGCAGGGGGAGGCCGAAGACTCCTTTCTCTTGGTTCTCTCTGCCTCTCTGTCTACCACCAACCCTCCATTGGTTCCTTTTGCTGGCGGGCATTCAAACGCTGCTGTTTTGTCACAAGCGTCCTGCCATGAGAGATGGGGCTCAGGCTGGACCCATTTCTCCTCTTCCTCGGCTCCTGCTCTTAAGAAGCATACCTCGCAGCCTTTGGTTAAAGGTGTAAACTTCAAGGCCCGCTACCTCCTTGGTATCTCAGGACGTTCCCTTATCCCAATCCCCGCAGCGGGCAGCGATGCCTGTTGGCCTGTGCCATGCCCTGGCGCGCTCTCTCTTCATTCTGCGTCTACTTTCCCCTTTCTCCCGACTCTAGCAGCAACAGCGGGTCTCGGTAGTTTTACGGCAATTGCCCAAATCCATTGCGTATGTGTTTGGGGGACCCACGTTCTTGTAGGAGTAGAGAGACATGTCAAATGCTCTCCCTCCTTCACGGAACAGGTCCTCCTCATCCATTGTCTTGCGAATGATATGGGCGTGTTGATTTTATGGCCAGTTCTGATGGAAGGGCGGTTCTGCAAGCCCCGTGCGGGTCCCTGGCTGGCTCCTGGGACTCCGCTGCATCCCTGAATTTGAATAGAGTTTGGTGGGTTACTGCCACGGCTCGTTCAGACATCTGCCCTCACGCTTTTCATGGTGTTGCCTGGTGGACACTGCTTATGGGAGCCAAGGCTGTGCTCCAGAAAGGGACTCTGAGACATGACACCTAAGGGCAGTGATCCCGGGAAGGGGACTTGCGGCCTCCATTTACTCAGGCAGAGATAGCACTGCTGGAAACATCAGGGGCTGGAGAAACCTTGCAGAAGGTCGTCGCTGACTCCAGAGCAGCCCTCTCCACTCTCAGAACAGGATCCTGCTCCCGTGCGTGGAGGGACGCCTTCTCTACCAGCTCAGCCTTAGGGTGCCTAAAAGTCACCTGGAGTGATTGTTAAAATGCAGATTTCAGGCACCTTTCCAGAGATTAGCATTCAACTGGGTCGAGTGGGGCCCAGGGACCTGTATTTTTAACAAGCACAGGAGAGACGCAGTCTCTCTCTTTGGGGACCACCGATCCAGTTTACAGTCTCTGTGTCAGTCTGTCCCCTATTACAGTTGGCTCAGGCCCAGTGAGTAAACGGCGGGGAAAGTGAGGGTGCAGCGGGGTTGAAAGATGCCAGTCCCCCACCTAAGGGTATTGTCATCATCATAATCACACATGTGGGACAAATGTCTGTCCCAGCAAGACATAAGATCCTGCAGGAAAATGAAAAGGGAATTGCTAGAGAGAAGAGAATAGTGAAATATACACCAAACACAAAGCTTGTAAGGAGCAGTTTAAGAAGAGAATGGATTACGGCTGCGTGAACCACAAGGGTATCCTGTAATAGACGCCGCGGGAGACAAGGTGCGCATCGTGCGTGCGGCAGAAGGAGTCTGGTGAAAACGAAAATCAGATGCCGAGAGAATTGAAATGAAATTAAAATTAAAACTCAAAATACAGCTAGAGCCTCTTTCTTCAAAGCCAAACAAATGATCAGATGAAAGATGTGATGTGAGACTGCGGAAACCTCCCTGCGGCCCAGGAACAAAACAGCGCTGCTGGAAGGAGCGGGGGAGAACCCCCAGGG